CCTTTTCTTCTTCTTTTTCGCTTTTGGAGTTTCTAGCTCTTCTTCCTCCGAACTCGAATCCTCCACATCGCTCTTTGTCAGATGGGAACTGACTATTTTTGACATCCTTTTCTTCTTCTTTATCACTTTCAGAGTTTCTAGCTCTTCTTCCTCCAAACTCAAATCCTCCACATCGCTTTTTGCCGAATAAGGCTCGGCCGAGTAGCCATAGTCAACACCTGGGTCAAGGAATTTCCTTCTGCTGGTTTTGGGTTTTTGCGATAACCTCCTTTCGAGTCTCTCTGTTGGGCGAGGCGAGGCTGCGAATGGCTTCCTTCCCTCGTTGCTCGGAAAATATGAGAGCGAATTCGTTTTCTTTTCCATCGCATGCAACCTACTAGAGGAACGTCGCTCTTGTCTTGCCGCCTTTGTGTCTTCGGCTTCCTTTCTCGACGCCAAGCTAGGCTTGGTAAGCATCGAAGCAACGCTCATAGTAAGACTTGAAGAAAGGTTTCGGAGAAGCGCCGGTCGTTTTGTTTTGTTTCGCGGTATGGATTTTGTGCTATCGGGTGTGCGTGCATTCTTGTCGTTTGTTGACAAAAACTGCGATTTTGATCTTGTGCTTGACAATCCTTTTGTCGCAGACAACCGATCGAGTCTGCGTGATGAATTTGATGTCTTGTCCCAAGTGCTATTGCGATTCTCAGAAAAGGAATAGGTTCGACCGATATTTGGAGCACTGGGGCTACCTCTGGCAAACATCATATTTCGAGAGCTTTGATTCCTCTGGTTGATCATTTCATCGTGTGAAAAACTTCTTCGAACGCCGTGTCGTCTACTAGCAGTTCTGACGATTTCACCTCTTGATCTATCTCTTGGTCTTCGATTGCTATCTGTGAACATTAGATTACAAGAATTGCCTTTTTGAATGCCTCTAATTGGTTCGGATGTAATGCCAAGATAATTCTTGTACCTTCTCTCAAGCTGCTCGGTTTTTGCGTTGGCGCCCCATTCTTTGTAAAGAGAAAACGCTCGCGAGAGATATAGGCTCGCCATCTTTTTGTCATCCTGATGAATAAAGTATAGTCCAGCCCGTTCACTTGCTAGTGCAGCGTGGTGCGTAAAGCCATCCTGGTAGGCAAAAGTAATTGCCGTGTCAAGGAGAATCCGTGATTGCTTCGGAGTAGTACCCCTATCAGATGCTATTGTGAGTTCAACCTACAAGTAATCGCAAAGAAGTGAGGACCCATTGATTTTCCAACAAGATCTCCTTTCTTTTTCTTGATGATATTTTCCTAATTTCATGTACTCACCTTCAATATATTTGCCATATGAGCAGTATTATTCATTCCTTTCTTTGTCCACGCGGTCAATATGCCAACCAAATTCGCAGCCTGTTTTTGGTGTGATATTTTCTTCCTTCCAGTAGTCATTTGTACGAAGTGGGTTGCTACGAGCCCTTGCATGAAGACACGATATGGACCCCAACAGCCTCCAGGTTTCACAACCACTTTTGCGTTGAGTGAGTCCGCTTTTTCCATGTCTTGCATGAAAATAGATGTCACCATTTGGAAGAAGAGATCGTACTGAATTGCCCTTGTATCTGTATGTTTTTTCTTGACCAGCTTCGGAATTTCTCCACTTAACTTCATCAGAGTTCTGTACGGAGCAGTCACGTTCCAGCATTCAGGCAAGTCGTGCTGTGCTCTTTTCTCGTCGTACAACTTCAGAAGAGTGTCTTCGCAATCAAAAGCTGATCCCGAATAGAATATCGACGAAATGTATGTACCAACCTGAAATGAAAGATTATCGACCTCATTCGCCTTTATGGATGCTCTACATAAGTCATCGAGAGTTGCTCGACTGTTCTTCATGGAGCTCCGCCAGTGACGCATAGAATAGTGGTGGTGTGCGATGGCTTGGCGACCATATGGATTTTCTCCCTCTGACATCATTTCCGCTAGACGCCCATATCGATAAGCCTCGCCATGAAGGTGTCTTCTGGCAACGCAAAGCCCACACAGCGCAAATGCTAGTCCTGTTAAATTGATTTCGCAAGACCCATATTTTAGAGTCAACTCAATCATGCGCAAAGACGCTAAGTCTTGTAACTTATAGGCTCTGCACAATCCACTGATTTCAGCAAGTTGCAGCAAGAACGGCATTTTTGTTGATGTCTTTTTGTGTTCCATACTTGGTAAAACAAGCAAATCTGCGTCGGACCTGTTCTGCACAAGCATGCGCACTTTCGAGAACTTGTCTTCTACGTTATATTGACTGACGTTATCGTCCCATATGTCTGTAAGGGCCTTTAAGGTGCATTGTTTTGCCTGTTCGTATTGCATCTTCGAGCGATATATTGAGATGAGAAGAGCAAATGCATCGATTGCGTCTCTCGGACGTCGCCCGTTTGCAATTATTGTATTCAAAAGAGACTTGGCTTGGTCAGGTTCACCCGTGCAGTAAAGACATCTAGCAAGAGCAAGATGAGTTTGTAGTGTAACAGTATAAGAATCCTCCCATTTCTTTTTCTTGTCCAATGCTGCCATCCCAGTTTCGAGTATTCCAATAGCAGTAACAAATGCTGATCTTTTCATCAGAGCTTCCCCAAACTCAAGATTACGTATTACGACCATCTTAATTTTATCCTTATCCTCTACTGACGCAATCCCCTTATTTAAATGATTGACTATCAACAAGCTTGTGCCGTCTCCATTCAGTTCTGGTTTCATAACTGCTGTACCACGTTTCAGTTTTTCAAAATTTGTGGCAAGATCCCAATGTAAGGCACTGTTTCTTTTTTTGTTTACGACTGGGATTCTGGATGTGGCCGCGGTCCTGATAGTCCCATCTGCAAAAGCATAGTGATTTTTGGGCCGTTCCTCTATCATCATTTTATTGACAAGAATGCTGAGATCACTTTCGATCTCGGTTATGCCAATGTCTAACTCTCGAGACTGTGACAAGGTTGTGACAGCAACCATAAGAGTATCCGTTCGAAAATTGTTTACTTCTAATAATGCAGCACTTTGCATTATCATATCATGTGTACTTGACAACCCTTCCATTCTATCGTTGATGAGATTCGGCAAGGATGACGGCAGCTCCGAATGCGAATCGATCTTCCATCTCTTCCCTGTGCATTTAATTATTTTTTGCTCGTACAGGAAATGCACCAAATGTTTTAGGAAAAGAGGATTACTGGAGCTTGAATGTGTGAAGCAGGAGTCCATTAATGAATTCATCATTTTGGTATCAATCGGGAATTTGTTTAGTCGACGCAGTTGACTTCTCACTATTGATTTCTTGGACTCTTCATCTATTGCTCCCAGCTCTATGTCGGCAACAAATAATGAGGAAAGATCCGTTTTGACTTTACTCAACGATTTCGTTACACCGCTACGGTAACAACCAATGAAGAAAAAGTTTTCCAGATTTTCTGTCATTAGGATAGCCTTTAGCAACTGCAATGAATCATCTCCGGCCCAATGAACGTTGTCGATGCAAAAAATAGTTGTCGAATATTCACAAATTGAAGCTAGAACTCTTCCGAGCGTACTCGACAGTCGCTCGAATGAGAAATTGTCTCTCTTATCAAATGAATATTTCGTGTCATCAACGTTTACATCCAATAGAGTCCCCAAAGCTGGGATGAGCAAGACCAAGACTGCGATATCATTGTCGTCATCAAGACAATTTTGTATCACCTCTACCCATTTCACTGTGTCATTTCCTTTGTAGAAGCTTCCAAACAAGTCGGAAAAACAGGACACGATCGCCGAGAAAGGTTTTGATCTGTCAATCCAGTTATCTTCGAAAATACCGCGACAAACAAAAGGTTTTGTTCTCAAAATATCATCCTGTTGTAGAAACGACTCAACAAGTGATGATTTACCGATTCCTTGAATTCCTTTGATCCAAACATGCCTCGGTGCAGTTGCTGATGGATTGATGCGGTTGCGCCTTGCCGCAGTAGCAGTAGCAGACAAAAAACTAGATTTAAGGCTGTTGAGCTCTTTGTTCCGTCCCCAAAAGTTTGACTTGGGTGGTTTCTCTTTGAGTAAAGAGCTTTGATGTCGCTCGCTCCCCCCTTCTGTAACGCTCACCGGGGATTCATCATCTGAAAAATCATCACCAAACTGATCTGTTTCATCCTCACTCTTTCCCTTTTTTATTTTCAACCCGTCATTCCTCCTTTCTCTTTCACTTTCAATACTGCCATTGGTGCTGATACTAACACTAGTGCTGCTATTTCCGTCGTCGCTTTCATCGGAACACAGGCTTTCACTACACGATGAGGACATTGCGTCGTCCGAGATGAAACGTCGGTCAAATGAACGCGCAGATTTGAATGTTTCGCTGGCTTCCCAATCGAGACTCTTTATGGAAGACTTATATGATGATTCGAACGGTGAATTATCCACAGTTGGAACTGATGGTTGACTGCCTTCCATAAATCGGCGACATCCAGATTTGTGGCTATTCACTTTAGCCACACCATCCATCTCCAGTCTGAATTCTTCATCGGCCACGCCTTGCGGTAACTCTATCTCGTAGCTATCATCATCCGTGTGACCGTCATGATAGTAATCCCTGTTCTTTTCAAACTCTTTTTCCTTTTCTTCTTCTAGCTTCTTTCGTTGTTGATCTTTTGCCTTCGAAAGCAATTCTCTTGCGATTCGCTCATCCTGTAGGTCGTTTCTTCTTTGAAACTCTTCCTCCATTTCCTTTTCTACCTCTTCGACAAGCTTCAAGAACAATCGGTCCGTCTTTTGTTTTCCGGTTTCCTCGTTAATATTAGGAACAGCATTAAATCGCTCAAGGGCTTCCTCCATAATTTCCTCTCGTTGTACTGTTGTTCGTCGGTCTCGCTGTTGCAACAAATCTGCCAAGTACGATTCGTCTCCGTCGTCGCCGCCGTAGAGATCGCTGTCGTGATACCCATAATAATCGCAATTTTCGTTGCCGTCAGCATCATCATAGGCGTTTTTGTCGTCGACGATGATGGTTGAAGACAAGCCAAGCTCTTGCAAGTGTGCCGTGAAGGCTTCATCGATCATAATCGAAGATGATGACCCGTTCAGGTCTTCGCTATCTCCCATGGTCGAAGAGGACTTCGTAAGATTAGTCACTGCAGTTTTCGACGAAGAATTCAAATTAGAGTTAACTTTATCGTTGCGCATAATTCCATATGTTTCGATTGCACCATCCGTGAGACGTCGATGTCAACAGGTTACGTGCTGTGCACAGTTTATCTTGTGCCTAGCCACTGGTATCGTTTGCGTATTGACTCTCCAACGCCAGCTAAAAGAGACAGCTAATCACAATCCTTGTCCAATTCATTCAACCAACGAATCGCTAGACTTGCAAAGAGTGTTGCGATACAACATGCACTTGGTTGGTTTGATGCCTCGTTTGTACGTGGACCTTGTGGAGTTCAATGTTGTTATGACGAACCCGTACTACCGTAAGAATTGGTGGCAAAGAACGAACATGGCATATTATTTTTTGTTCAGCGACGTACATCACTAGAAAGTACTGTAATTGTTAGCGTTACACGACCGAAGACAAGTACTAGAGGAGAGAACAATAATTTTCTTTGGTCAGGCACTTTAGACCCGGCAAGATTGTGGGGTTTATTTACATTAATTGTCTATATTTAGGTCGTACAGTACTCGGAAGCGAAATGTCTTAGTGACGGTTTTCCTATTTAAGAAATCTGTATGAGTTTCTTACACCAATCGTGCAAGAGGAAAAGCCACTCGAACGCACTTTTATCATCTATTGCCCATGGATAGAAGGAACACTCTTTAAAGCAGATTTTCTATGACACGTCGAAAAACATTGTCTCGAGTCCCCAGATGACAAAAGTTCGACATGCGCAGGCCGCCTTCGTATCATAATATTAATGTTGAACAATTATGAGATTCTAGTACGCACTTCTAATATTTAGGCATCCTGATGTGCTGTTTCTTATCAGATGAAGCGGCATGGTTTTACGTCGTACCTACGGTACGAAATGACTGTGCCAAGAAGTTTGGTACCGTACTACGTGCATAGAATATGTTCAGTACTCGTACCTGCTATTTTAGATTCTTGTGGTCCTCCTAATGGACCCAGTTACCGTATGAGCTAAATGCCCTCTGAAGTGGGTTTGGTAGTTGAGTCCTACATACTGAGAAGTGAATCTGAATCCATTTAGTAGAAAACTGTATTTTTTTGCATCTGGAACCAGCTACGGTAGAAAACAGAGTAAACACCTAACAATAGGGAGAACGAAAAAAGTGAGTAAAACACGCAGGACGTAAAAATGTTGCTCTATTGAAAGCACACGTGATGAATAATAGTCAGCTTTACAATGGTGGGTTCGCTTTCATGGGCTATGTAATACTCCAAAGGCAGCTGTGAACTACGACGCCCACCCCTAGATGCCTCAATAATTCAATACGAAGTATTGGTGCGAAATCCCTTTTCTAGATCTTCATTCCATTATTGACATCATAGTTTACAACCAGTAAATCAAATCGAGACATCCAGTTACGTACCTCTCAAAATTCGGAATAGCGGCAAGGTTTGTTTCAACCTAAAGGAGGGTATTCCGTTTCGGTATACGATTCCAAAGGCCAAAGTTCATTCTCACGGAGAGGTGCAAAGCAAACACGGGCCTTCCGTTGTTTTTGCCTCTTAATCTTTTTCGATTGTAGCAGTGGTATGGTGCCTTGTGACTGTGCTTTTATTGCATCTTCTATGCTAGCCATTTTGCAAAAAGCTGATCCGTAAAACGCCTTCGTATCGTGATCTACGATCCATTGGATTGTTTCGATCTTAGCATCGCCGAACGCCTTGCGTAGCTTCGATGCGGTGGTAGTGAGGGGAAGTTTTCCAACAAATAGACGCTGAGACGCAACGTCATTCTTTCGCGCAACCTTTTGCCCTGTCACAAGATCTGTGCCTCCCTTCTCGATCAGACCCAGCTTGCGTTTTTGACCGATGAGATCGGGGGCAGTCTCCGGTGTCTGATATCCCTTCACACAAAGAGGACAGGCGAGACATTGAGGTTCATCTGTTGCTGTCTTCTGACATTCATCGCAAACAATCACAGGAACTGCACACGGAAGGCCGGATGATGGAATGATACGGGCACACTTGTGCTGGCCTCGGTATTTTGCGTACGGTTTCGGGCACAGGCAACACTTGCTTTCAACATCAGCATCTAGTGCCTCTTGAGACTTTTCCGGAGGAGCTTGCTCCATCCGTTTGTCGAAAAGATAATTCTTGCCCTTCCAGTATCCACCTTGTTTAAATGTTTTGAGATACCGTTCGATACCACCGCGCACCATCACGACACCCTTGGTGTCGAACTCCGGCTCTGCCTCCGTAATTTGATTCAGCAGAGCAGTGGCTCGTTCACAACGGATCCCTCCCGTACAGTACATCATGACCGTCTTATTCTTGAGTTTTTCCTTCGTTTCTGGTGCATTCAACCATTTTGGAAAGTCCTGCGACGTTCGCATCTTCGGATCGAGCAGTTCAGCTCCACCTTCGGGAGGTTGGAAGTGACCAATGTCACTCTCGTATGCATTCCGGACATCGATTATGACGGTGTCTTTCTGTTGCATCTGCTTGTGGTATTCAGTTGCTTCGAGATGCTTTCCTGCGTGTCGATTGAGAGACGGTGCCTTGATTCCATCCAGAGTGTATCCTACCAGCTCATCCACCTTGCGCAACGTGAAGGTTCGGAATCGATGCTTGTTCTCGACCCCATCTTCAAGCTTGAAATCTGTTTCATTAAACGCTGGATCCCAATCTCTCAGCGCGTAACAGAATGCGCGAATATCGTTTGCACTTGCGGTCAGAGTACAATTCAGTCCTTCCGGAGCACATCGACCACGACCCGTGACATTGTGAGCCTTCGCGAATTCTGTCACTTTGTTAAGGGCGGCCTTGTGGTCCTTCGACTTCCACGCTGGTTCCTTATATTGATAGAATAGACAGATGGTACAGGAGTCGGCAGGTAAGTTTACAGGGGGAGCAGGCAATGGCCGATTTGCGTTGGACTTTGAAGCACCAACATCGACGGCCGAGGCAGATAGACCTAGGTCCTTCAAGGTTTGCGCCGTTTCAGCTTCCAGTTTTCTTCGGAGGGCTCTTCTAGCCTCTTTGCGGGCTTTTGCGGCAGCGGCTTTGGCTTGCTTCGCCGCCGTCGCGTCTGCCACTTCGTTGTCCATTATGGCTTGTGCATCATGGTTTGGTGTTGCTTGACACGAGGACAACAAAATATTGTGTCGAGTACACGGTACCCATGAATTCCGGTAGGTGGAGGATGAGAATTGAGTGTCGAACTTCATAGCCACTCACACTGTTCACACACAGCTCGAACTTGTTTTTGATTTTGACACCAAGATTGCGCTGGGGGGAAAAAAATAATGAATGGAAGAAATTTTGCCTGTCCTTCGGCCGGAAAAGGGGATTCCCCTAAAAATCGACTGTTTTGTCAAAAATCAAAACAACCATCGTCATCGTCCACCAAAAAGTGTTCCTCTTCCCAATTTCCTTCCCGGTTTTTCGGAACAAATCAAAAATAATTCGTCATCGTCGCATCGTTGCATCGTTCCATACGGCAATAAGAGCAACGAAGTACACATAGCTGTTTAGGCGACGTCGCTCGACTCGAAATCCATATTCCAAGTGGGAAAACAAAGGTCGAAAGAACCAAGAGGTGGTTGATGAGAAAAGTTCAGAAAACAGATTTCTGCAACTGAACATACTCAGGACAATGGCAAAGGTTTCGAATCGTTTCGAATCGGTTTGCCGCAGCAAAACCTGGGGACAAAATTTAAGGACATCGATGGTGATAGCTACAATTTTCTCAATCCTGTACTCCAATGAATGCTTGTCTTTCGTTTTTCCATCTTCAAGAACGATAACACTCACGTCACCACCAAGATGTTCGTTTTTGGTAGAACAAGAACATCTGTGCATACTAGAAAGTAGCAGACGAAGAACGCACATCACGCAACTCTTCGCACAAAAGAAGAAACCACGCTTCTCGCAAAAGGGTTCTCACATCTCAAAAAAAACTCCGGAAGAAAAAATAAGAAATGGATCCTTTGCCAGGAAGAACAAATCAAAAAATACTGGAAGCAACAATAAGAAAGGTAAACGTAGACCGCCACCGATGCAACATCAACCATGGGCTTCCGGAAAGTCGATTGATGATTTGGAGGCCACGATGTCCAGTCGTTGGGGAACTTTAGATGATTCTTCTACATCTATGGCTGGAGGTATCCCAGAAGGTTTTGAGATATTTAGTGGGGACGAGGACGACTTTGAAACAATGGACGACTACGATGTTCACTACGACGATTCATCACCACCGAAGAAAGGAAACAAGAACAAGAACAATATGAGTGGAAGCGACCGATGGAGAAAACCAGTACTCGATCCATGGGATGAAGAGGAAGCTTCTTCTAAGAAGCAAAGAAATAATAAGTTTTTTGGTGAACGGGAATATTACGATCAAGATGACGAAGGATACGAAATTCTKGGCGAAATGGAGGACGATGACGGCGACGAGTTTTTGGAAATCGACGAATCGATTTCATCACCATACCTTCCCCGGGTCGACCACTTGATTGCTCCAAAACCTGCTGGAGGGCGAGGCTCTAATCGAAATAGCAACAAAAACGATGGAGGAGGGGGCTACTTTTTCAATCCAGATGTTGTCAACAGTAGAAAAAAGGAGGATGCACCTCTTTTTAGAAAAGAACGTAAAAGAGACGTGTCGGAACCGAATTCCGTCGCGCCAGAGTCCGAGGAAGATATTCGTACCAACAAAGCTCGTAAGCGACGCCAATCGGCTAAACCACTCTTGAATAAAAATGGACAACAACGACTTTTGACGATCGAAGAGGCATTTAATCAGTTTCAGGAGTCCGTCGACGAAGGAATGATGGAAATTATTGAAACTGCGGAGGTTCCCATTCTGGCGAAACATGCAAACGCAAAATCGTGGGATGATGTAGGAATTACGTCAACCACGATGCTTGAGAACCTGCGATACGACATGAATTGTCCAAATCCTCTGGCCGTTCAAGAGAAAACAACACCAGCGATCTTGACAGGAAGTGACGTCTTGGTCGGAACTTACACGGGAAGTGGTAAGACCTTGTCGTTTTTGGTTCCACTTGTACAACGATTATTGTGGAGCATTGACGAAGACTCTGATGGGAATATTATAAACGACCCTGGATTAGCAGTATTGATTGTTGTACCTGGTCGCGAATTAGCCAGTCAAATTGTTAGCGTCGCGAGAGATCTTTTGCAAGACACGGGATTGTCGGTTCAATTAGCTATTGGGGGAACAACATTCAAGAGAAATTTGGAGCAAATCCGGAAACGAAAACCAAACATTATTGTAGGCACTCCGGGACGCATTGCGGAACTAGTAGTTGGAAAACCAGGAGAAAAGTAAGAGTGTTCATTTGCTCCTTGAATGGCAATTGAACTTTTTCATTAGCGATATATTTCGTTTACAAATTCAGCTGACCTCACAATTTTGTGCATGACTGATTTCATTTTTTGCGCACAGAAACGGAAAATTAAAAATTGGTTCTTTACAATCTTTGGTGTTGGATGAGTTCGACGCCCTTTTGGAATACAAAGCCCACCGGGATCCAACTCGTGCCATAATGCAAACGCTAAAACGCAGGCACCGTAATTCGCTACAGTCTGTGATGTGTTCGGCAACAGCTACGGACATAATAGATTCTTCGAAGGTTGTAGACTTCTTGCGTCCTGGCTTTGAAACAGCAATGGCAGATGAAGACGACGTATTGGTGACTGGTAGAAAGTCAAACGCGTCGTCTTCTGTCGCAGCTCAAGTGAGTCGCACGGTTTTACACGGTGTTCTAAACGTGCCCCACAAGGGCATGGCGTTGGACGCCGTGCGCAAGATCTTGCATACAGACCCTATTCCCCAGCAAATTCTGATCTTTGTCGAAAATGCTCGGAAGGTGGATATTGTAGTGGAGAAGTTGGCAGATCGTGGGATCATTGCAGCACCATTACATGGTGGAATGGGAAGCGAAAAGATGGACCGTGCAGAAGTAAGCCGGGCCTTGCGAGAAGGTTACGTGGGCATCGTAGTAGCGACTGAATTGGCAGCCCGTGGTCTCGATGCACCTCTCCTCACACATGTTATAAATCTTGATTTGCCAACTGATGCCTCGCATTACGCCCATCGATCTGGAAGATGCGGTCGAGGAGGGCGTCCAGGTGTCGTTATCAACATAACGACATCACCGAAAGAACGCAATGTCCCGAAACGATTCGCGAACACACTTGGAGTGGATATGTTCACTGCGGAGACAAGGGGAGGTAAGCTTGTGCTTGTCGACCCAAGTACGCAAACGATAGATTAATCCATACTATTCATACCATAATTTGATAAAATGGCAGCTAAAATTAAGAAATGAAGGAATACGACACACATCTTTCTGCTGGTAGTCTTCTTCCCTTTGTGGTTTCGGAATTATTTTAGGGGAAGTGTGGAGGATGAGGTTACTTGAGAGTTACAACTAGTAGTAAACTTGGTGACCAATTTATGACTGGTTCTGTATTTTTGCATGCTTTTGCTGAGCCAGAAATGATGCACATCTTCTCTTTTAGAAGTATTCCATAAACATTGTGAAGTTTAAATAATGGTCTCATTAGTKCAGTCTTCTCGGGTGTGCTTGTTTCAACTGAAGTTTTGCATCACATAGTACTACTAGTACTACTACTACTAATAGTAACATGGTGGTGAAGCTACTAGCTACTAGCTAGTAGCTAGTCATAGTGCTAGACCAGTAGTAGTAATAGTAGTACTTGTAGCTACAATAGTAGTAGTACTCATTTCAAAGGGCACAACTGCCAAGCCAAAAGGCAAGTCCCATCACAGCAGTGATYAAGGCAATGAGTGCCAAGCACACTACCAAGCCAATTAAGGCAAGAAGTCACATCCCAGTGGGCAAGGACACATGTGGTGGAGTAGTCAAAAACAAAAGAAAAATCAAAAAGAAAAGCCAAAAGAAAAGAAAAAACCAACACACTTCTTTCTAAGTAGTAGCTAGTCATAGTGCTAGACCAGTAGTAGTAATAGTAGTACTTGTAGCTGCAATAGTAGTAGTACTCATTTCAAAGGGCACAACTGCCAAGCCAAAAGGCAAGTCCCATCACAGCAGTGATTAAGGCAATGAGTGCCAAGCACACTACCAAGCCAATTAAGGCAAGAAGTCACATCCCAGTGGGCAAGGACACATGTGGTGGAGTAGTCAAAAACAAAAGAAAAATCAAAAAGAAAAGCCAAAAGAAAAGAAAAAACCAACACACTTCTTTCAAATCACAGCTGAGCCCACCCAAAGGAGCAACTGCTGGTTGTGGAGCACCATCTTCTTCAAGAAAAAATGGGGATAGATTGATAAGATCTAGATATGGGGTTAAATGCTGGGGGCTTGGGTTGTTGTTGTTGTTGCTGTCCAACACAAATGACAGAAACAACAACATTGTTGTGACCGGGAAGCACTGGGACTTCTAGTCCTTAAGAACTGGGGATGGATCCAGCTGAGGCGAACTGCACACAGCTGGTGGGGGATAATACTGGGACTGATGCTAATCCAACACAAATGACAACAACAACAACAACAACAACAACAACAACAACAACAACAACAACATGACCAATGGTGGTTATAGTACTCTGCTGGTGTACATACATTTCTTACAGAGGGGTCATACATTTTAGAAGGATGCGCAAAGCCTGTAGAGACATGCAGTATTTTCCAGCAGTTTTGAAAAGTTCATATTCCATCATCCTGGGCAATAATAAGAAAAATTTCCCCCTGGGTTTTTTCAGTTTCCATTTTTGCTTCATAACAATAGTAGAACTGACATCCAACTTGTAAGTACTAGTAGTCATAGCTTCTTAATCAAAAGTAGTACCTCCTCATGGGAAAGGAACAAGATTTTTTAGTGATTTTGCACCTTCCATTTTCAGGAGGCTCCATCTCAGCAACCAGTCATTGTCTGGTGACTAGTATGTTCACCAACATCGCATGAAAATACAAACCACCAGACATTGACAACAATGGTACCATGCACCTCTTTGAATACAAAGAATGACTAATAGTATAAGAAAGCAAGCCACACTAGTACAACAAAGTATCCTCAAAAACATCTCTATCTTGGCTATCATGATCTGACCCTTGTTGGAACCCGCCTTCTTCATTCAACAACCCGCACTAGTAGTAGTAGTAGTAGTAGTAGTAGTAGTAACATCATAAAAAATACATTACTACTACTAGTAGTACTAGTAAAAAATAGTAGCCCCATTTCTTGAAGGCCTACTACTACTAGTACTAGTAGTACTACTAGTATAGCTTTATTCTTAGTGTCAATACAACAATGAAAGAAGGCGTAACACAGTCCTCAAATACTAGTGTTTTAAAGAAGATCAATAGAAAAAAAATAGAAACATTCAAATTGACCAGAAATTGCGCTTTGGTCGTAAGTCGGTTAGGGAACGGTCATTTTCGGACGGAGAAAGTAGTAGAAGTATGGTATGTTTGACTTCCACTTGCCCCGTTATGTCTTTCATGTATGTAACATAGTGATAGTAGTAGTACATTTCAGTCTGTCCGTATACCAGTTTGGCACCTTTACTCTTCTCCAGCAGATGTTCGATCTGACCATTGCCAAAAATCGTCACGCCACCCCACAATTTAATCACAATTACAAAATTTCCAAACACATTCTCGTTACATCTTTTCTCATCGGCAGAGAAACGAAACACGAACTACCAAGCCATTCTCGAAGATTTATCACATCGTGACGGTCTCTCGTTTATTTGGATCAATCAGGAAGAAAACAAAAGCTTTTCAAACATTCGAAGCCAAACTCTTTCAACAATAGGATTTAATCTGTCATGTTTGGTGGTGGTCGTAAAAAGAATGATGATAGTCAATCCCTATCCTCGGTCATGAGTCCTGAAAACGCTCCAGCCAGCAAAGGCAAAGGTGGCAATGTAATGGGATTCGATCCGGAAGGATTGGAACGTGCCGCTAAAGCGGCCCGCGAGCTTGATGCTAGCAGGAATGCTGCCAGTGCCATCGAGCTAATCAAGACACAAGAGGTGACCAAACAACACGAGGCATCTGCGAAACGAGCCGAGATGGAAGCCTATACCGTGCAACAAAGATCCCAAAACATCGAGCGTGAGGCCGAAGAAGCACGCAAAACCCTTGACGCCCAAACTCAACACGAACGTCACCGAGCCGAATATATGGATGAATTGGAACGAAAAAGACAAGTCGATATGCTTAACGCACAAAAGTATATGCAAGAGTGAGTTCTTGAAGTCTGTGACAGCGATTTCAAATCAACGAAGAGGAAAATATTTTGTCAACTTGATGCCGGAGTAGTCGACATTTATTGACCGCTATGTCTTTGAACGATTCTGATTTATTCTTGTTCTTACTTTGTTCCAACGTTGCTTTCTTGCGACGAATGATCCCAATTTGCGTAAATTTCAACTAAAATACAATTTACAGAGAACAGCTCAAAAAGCAGGAGGAAATGGTTGCACGACAAGAGGAAATGCGTCGAAAAACAGCAGAGCACGAGGCGGCTTTGAAGACCAAAATGGAATTGGCAAAAGCACAAGCGCAAGCGGATGGGCGGATCCGTCAGGAACGTGAAAACCACGATTTGATCCTGGAAAAACTGAAACAGGAAGCAGCCGAAAAACGCGACACCGTGTTGAAGGGTATCCAGGATGCTGGAAAAATGATTGGAGAGGGACTCCAATCGTATCTGGACGATACCACGAAGCTACGAAACACGGCTTTGACAGTGACTGGGATTGCTATCGGTGTTTACACAGCCCGTACTTCGATCGGAATTGGGGGGCGGTTTATTGAAGCAAGATTGGGAAAACCGAGTCTTGTCCGTGAAACAAGCCGCTTCAGTTTTGGACAACTGGCAAAACAACCGGTCCAAACGACGAAACGTTTGTTTGGAGTTGGCACTCAAGAAAAGGATGCCTTGAAGGGTATCGTGTTGAAACCCGAGTTGGATTCACAGCTCACCAAAATCGCGGTATCTACAGCTAATACCAAAAAGAACAAGGCCCCATTTCGCCACTTGTTGCTACATGGTAAGTTTTGATTCATTGTGCGACTTTAGTATTGTTCTAGGAACAAGAACCATTGGATGTTTTATCTTTCATATCTAATCTGAGATGTTCTTTCTTCCCAATTGCACCTCTACGAAAGGTGCCCCGGGTACTGGGAAAACCATGTTTGCTCGTGGATTGGCCCATCATTCGGGATTGGACTTTGCTATCTTGACGGGTGGTGACATTGCTCCCTTGGGACGCGATGCCGTGACGGAGTTGCATAAGCTCTTTGATTGGGCTAAAACCAGCCGGAAGGGTCTTCTTTTGTTTATTGATGAAGCAGATGCATTTTTGCAGAATCGTGAGACGACAAAAATTAGTGAGGATCAGCGCAACGCTTTGAACGCATTTTTGTTCCGAACCGGAACTGAATCAAATCAATTCATGATGGTGTACGCCAGTAATCAACCGAACCAGTTCGATCCAGCCTTGTTAGATCGTGTGGACGAAATGGTCGAATTCGATCTACCAGGAATCGAAGAAAGGAGAGAAATGATTGCAATGTACATTGATAAATATTTAATCAAACCTCCTGGATATGCGAAGACGGTTGTCACGGACGGTATTGGACCAGCAGAGATTGAAAAGGCAGTGAAAATGACAGATGGTTTCTCGGGTCGATCGATCTCAAAACTAGCAATTGCATGGCAGGCTGCAGCCTATGGTACAGAGGGTGCAGTCTTGGATAAGGATACTTTCTTCAAGACTGTTGAACACCACAAGTCGAGTATGTCGACGAAGGACCAATGGCTTCTCGAATCAGAGGAGCGCGCTCGCCTACTGACAACGGATGCTTGATTTTGCGAAGCGAAAAATAATTAATTTGAATGAAAGCTATAACCGTTTTCTTTTGAGAGAATCCATTGTTCAGCATTTTACCACGGACAGCTATTTTCGAGAGTAGACCAGTGGTCACAAGTTTCGATTCCTCCACATCTATTAGAATCGTGACCACATCTTTCATTGATTACTCGCAATTCCAAAGCGACATTACGATGCACTTTACTATCATGGTTTATTTTGAAAGAACCATTCAGGTCTGCGGCATGCTGATGAATGGATCGTATCCAGTTTTCCTGAGTGATTCTTCATAAAAAGCTTGTAATTTTCTCTAGTTCTAAGCTAATGGTATCGATCGTGGGTTGAGACATGGTTCAATCATTTTCTAACGAAGGAAGTAGTTGAAGTAAAGGATTGAATTCTTTTTCTGTTGTTAATGATATGTCTTAGGGTATTGTGAGAGTATGACTGAGCGGAATGCAGGCGTCTGTGCTTGAAAAGAGTAAAGGAGTACTTTCACCTGAGTCACCGTGATAGTCCACTGCCAGCAAATGTGTCTCAAGGAGAAATCTTCTTGTTCCAGAACGGTTTCTTCTTGTTATCATCTGTTAGACCGACATTCAAATCGAAGGTTTTGCGTGCCTCGGGATTCTTGTACTTTTGCTTTAGATGCTCCTTATCGATGTTCTTTCGTCTACGTTCCTTCAAAAGCTCCTGTTGTGCTTCCCACTGCTCGTCGAGATCATCTTCTAGGCTGCCATGTCCATGGAGAGGTTCGAAGTTGTTAGCCAGATTTCGAAGGATTTTCTCCATGGGATTCTTGGTAGCGGCGAGCTCTGTCAAAGATCCCGCAGCACGAGTTGCTGGTTGGAAGGCGTTTGCACCTGTCCAAACAACGGCGAAAAATGCTAAAGATTGAGTGAGCTTCATGGCTTTCAGACAGTACTTGTTTGCGACAAAGTAGGTAGAGATGTAAAGTGACTTTTCTGTGAGACAAAGTTGCTTTTGTGTCTTCTCGTTCCTCCCAATAATACTTTCTGGATGATTCGTGAGACCTCACGGTACGATTACGAATACTTTGAACTTAGTACATACGGTGCAGTACATCAACATCAATCAATCTTCAATCTAAACATTGATGGTTCTCGGTTCTTTTGCGATCTTGCTTTCATAACGGTAAATACACTGTTTCTTCTTGATGGTTTCCAGATGGAAAAATGAAAAGATCTTCCGTGATTGATTTTCATTGGTTTATCTGTTTTTACAGTAAAGTTCAAGAAAATCCGATTGATTCACTCGACTCGATATAAAAATACGGTGGGAACAATCCTTCTCAAAGAAATGATGCTTGTTGTTGATCGAAATAGAATGCCGTTCGACTCGAGAAGTAGTAGTAGTACTACTACTGCTGCTGCTGCTACTGCTGCTACTGCTGCTACTACTGCTACTACTACTGCTACTACTACTACTACTACTACTACTACTACTACTACATAAAAAAGTAGTATTAGTGACCTGTTGAAAACAGTATGTGGTGAGACCCATGGTGCATCCTTTTTGTACGGACAAGTGTATGGTGATAACATGATATCATTTTTTGCCACTTTGAATTGAATCCTTGTTAAAGAAACTAGTAGACTGTTCACATCAGGATTCACATAAGCTCATGTCGTTTCGTGTCAAAAATGTCATGTTGCAACTGGCCAATATATTCTTCAACCCACAATTTATAATCTCCTCTAAAAGCATAGAAGACTGGAAGATAACAAAGAACAGTTATAGTATCTACCATCCATTTTATAATTTTAATATTCTTTCTTATTATTGTTGTCAATATTCAAAGGAATTATCTTTTTGCACCCACTATTTATGATACCAATTATTAAACCCCCCTCCATTGTTCCTGTGATTGAAGTGGACTCATCCATGTTGTTATGGTCAAACTTCAGTTCATCAACATTGGTGGATGGACTTCCCAGTTGACACAGTTCATCAGGAATGTATTTGTCAATAATTTCAACAGACACTGGTATAGCTAACAGGGTCATATCTTCACCATTCTGGGCTTGGCATTGTTCTCTTGTCAACTTTTCAAACTCCACTCCTGTTGCTGGGTCGTATACAAAACTCTTGATCTCCTTACACAAAAGGTGAAGCAATGCTCTCCCATCTGCTGGTAACCACCCATCTTTTCTTTCACTTCTCCTCTGATCACAAAACCTCTTTCTCTTTGCATTTGGATCCTTTTTATTCTTCTTCAAGTATGCCACTCATGTCTGGTATTTGCTACTAATAGTAGAAGTACTAGTATGCAGCAGTAAAATAGCAAACACCTTATTGAAACCCATGAATACTTATCAAATGCTTACTCTTTCTGGTGGTATGAAAATTAGTTTGCATTGGGTTCATAGCACCAAGCATCGTTGTTAGTAAGAAGTGGTAGTAAAAATCTTCATTACCCATGCCTCCCAACAACCTGTACGATGGGTTCAAGATTTTACATGCCATGCCTGGACTCCAATCTATGCACACCAATCCATGAAAGTTAGGAGGGGCAATGTCACCCAGCCTGAAGTCAGCTGCAAATGGTCCATGTGTCAGACGAGAAGCAAATGCAAACATTTGGTCTCTGATTCTTAATCTGTTATATTATCATGTCTACCAGATAGTTATATAACAAACCATTTTTGTCTTGTATATTGCTGCACATTCTTGTGGCTTGATCTATTCAATACCTTCCAAAGCAGTTTATCTTCCAAGTACAGGAGTTGTCTTTGAACTCATCTATTTTGATAACTGCCTTATCTACAATGGCCTGCCAACAAACATGCTCGTGATACCCATGATGTTGATCAATGAGAAATTTCATGTTTTTTACTCCTTGGATCCTCATGTAATGAACCAAAACAATGCGCACTGAAATATTTCCTTGCTTGTATCCTAAACATTTGCTCTGATTCCCTTTGTATGCTTGGTCCAAATGGTGACAGCACTGGTCAAAGCTTTTGACATTACAGCTTTACTGAAGTAACTGGTGGTTTCACAACTGTTACCTTGCTATTTTTATGTTCTTCCTCTTCCAGCTGTTTTTTCATCTCAGCAATTTTGTCCATTATGCTCTCATACCTTGTAGCAGTACTACACATCTAACCATATCATCTTGCAGCCCAGTTACCATTCTTGTTGTAACACTTGCATTGTTTACATTTCCTCTTGCTTTTGCTTGTTTGAAGGTTTTTTTTTGTGCATGGAACACGTCTCCGTCCCTATTCATGTTGTTTGTCATTTTTGTGTCATTTTTTGGGAATATAGACCAACATTACGTGATAGTGTTCTGCTAGTCTTCCCATGCCAAACCCGGTGCCAACTGAACAATGCAGGTATTTACTGGGACATTACGAAATGACTCATTACCGGTTACTCTAAGCTACTGGAACCACAACTAGTCTGACTAACTCAAGAAGCAGTAGAATAGTTTCCACAAATACACGTGTCCAGCAATGTGTTGGTTGTTATTGTTGATTTACAGCCCTTTTCTGGTGGTAGGTTTAACCTAGAAATAAAGTATTCGTAGCAGCTTAAAAGTTGTGTAAAAGGCGCTTGAAAATTACTTTTTGGCAGCCATTGGATTTTTATAATTATTATTATATATATCCGCATATAATTAATATTTCTCTTATTATTTATATATGTATATAATTAATATTTTATTATTCTACTTAGGGGGACTGGGAAAGTACTGAAAAACTACTTAAAAGGTACTTTTCAAGCTACTTAAAAGTTGTATTGAAAGTACTTTTTAAGTAGTATTTAAGTAGCTTTGCTGTAAGTTAAATGTTGACTTCTGATTGGCCAAGCTGTTATCTTGTACTCCCATGTGACTGCTTTTTCCCTGTTGGCACGTGGAATTTTGCTGCAGTACTAGACTAGTTGTGGTTCCAGTACTAGAGTAGAGTAACTGGTAATGAGTCATTTCATAACGTCCCTGGATATTCAATGCCCCCCCTTCCATACTCTCTGAAGACTGTTTTGTGTCAAGCATTCAAAGCCTTGCCATAATTTTTTTTCCCTAACTGTTAAAACTCCTAAGCTTCTAGTAGTAGTAATTATTGCTACTACTAGTAGATCTGTGCAGCAGGTGTATTTGATACCAGTCTTCTGTGCTAGTTTTTAATTTGTTATTCATTTTTGGTAGGACTATTTTTTGGCTACACAACACTTTTGAGGGCATTATTACATGGATCTTCCTCGATTTTTTGGTTGAGAATGCTTGGATGTCAGATATGTTGACACTTCTTTCACAGAATCCTATGCTGGTTTATCTCTTTAAATGCATACATAGTAGGGGCATCCCTCACATACTGTCAATATTGAAAAAAATTGACCTGGGCTTCTGACAACTATGTCAATGAAAAATTGGCATCCCTCTCACCTTTCCTGTAGGTGTAGGTTATCCAACGCATCAAAATCCCAAGTGTCATGTGTTCTTGACACTTCTTTCATGGAATCCTTCCTTGATTTTTCCAACGCATCCATGACATCCCTTCTCATATTGCCCATATTGACAAAAAACTAGTGTGGGTTACAGTTGCAATTGGTTCCAATGCATACAGGCATCCATCGTATATTACTCCTGCTATTAACAAAAAACCAGCCTGGGTTTCTGACACTCATGGTGTCAATGAAAAATGGTGGCCATCCCTTTCACATTGTTTGTACCAAAAAAACAAAAACGACATGGATCATGGAGGCAATTGGTCATAACACATAAAGGCATCCCTCACATGTTGCTAGTACTGACAAAAAACTAGCCTGAGTTTCTGACACTCATGTTGATGAAAATCCAGCATCCCTCTCACATTGCTTGTACCAACAAAAAACCAACATGGGTCACAGTGGCAATCACCAGTTCTGATATAATGTTGGTGAACTAGTAGTACATGACATATTACTACTCTCTAATACTATTAGGGGGACCTATTCCTCTTCCATCTAATCAAGTCCTTGCTCTTGGATTGAACAGAACCAGTGGCATGTTTGGGGTTCTTCATGCACCACAAATCAAGAACAATACAGCCAATCTCATGATTGATACAAGGTGCCTCCATGGTGCTTGCCAGTGCATTGTACTTTGGTATCCTTACCAATAATCAAGAGGCAATTATTGATACATGTGCTCACTTTACTCCTGAACTCCTGTTGGGAAAGAATTTTATTGTTAAATTGGTCACATAGCTAGAAATTCCAATGAATGAATTGATGAACTTTTTACCATAAAGAATGATGTGCCAAAAATCTTCCAACATGTCCTTGACTTTTGGCAAAAGACCAGACACAAAGAATGGACTACTTTCTTTTCTGATTGCTTCAAAATAGAGGATACATAAACTGTAGATTAGATTTCTTGTTTTATGGACCAATTGATGGTGTAGATCCTTCTCTAGATAGTCTGCCACCCGTTCACAGAGAGGATTGGCATTTTTCTTATAATTCTCCCACCCAGGAGCCCCTTTAAAAAATCCTCATTCAACAGATCATGTTATAATTTTGATTTTCTAGTAGTCCAGTTTAGCAGAAACCTCCCTGTGGTTTTTGATAGTAAGTCAGAGAGGGCAAGTGAAGTAGTTCAATGAACTCTTCATAGTGTTCCTTGAACATGTTGATTCTTTTCTCAACAGTTTTGAAAAGAAGAGCAGCATTGGTGTTGTCTGCTCCAAGCAATTCAGTAACTACATCAAATGCCTTGTTCAACAAATCAGGGACAAAACAAATGGTGGGCTCTTCACTTTCATTGTTGTATCCATCATTTGTTCTCATCCACCACTGGTGCTAGTAGGAGGAAGGTGCAGTGGTTGGCTAATTCTCATCCAAGGACTCCAACAGAGATCTCTGTCTTGCATTGCATGCATTGACTTCCTTGATGAAAGATTTCATTTTGGTGGACACATGAGCCCAGGAGTTGCCTTTGGTGTTAATACTACTGCCCAAGATTGTGGGATGAGCTTGCACTAGATCATCAATGACCTTCTGGCATAGGAGAACCTTCTTGTAGTACCATGAGATGTGAGTGGCGAGGCAGGCCAAACAGAGTGACGAGTCCTTCAGATCTTGAAGATCTACAAGTTCCAAAGATTTCTTGAGTAGATCAAAGACGGCACTGACCTCAGTTTTGATGTCAGAGTCATCCATCAAGCTTTCATTCAGATCCTTCATGTAAATTGAGGCAACTAGGTAGCTCTGACACAGTTTTCAACAGGTCTTGGAGAGCCTTCTTGGTTGAGAGCAACTCCTTCTTCCAGGAGGGACGAGGATGAGGGATTCCATTGGTTGAGGTAATGCTAGAGTCAGACAAAGCCATGGTTGATGTTTGGAAGTACAATGAAGGCAAGAATAGTACTGATATCCTATTAGGGGACAAGAAAATAATTCACTACTAAAGCAAATTATGGTCCAACAGCAAAGATATTTGTATCGTTCAATATTAACAATTGAAGAAACCAAATAGTAGAAGAAAGGGAATGGTCCAAGATTGTTTTCAAAGCAATCAAACTTGGCAAAGCAGTGAAGCAGTGAAATCCCAACATACTGGAAAATTTTAAGGTTTGGAGGGAGAAAACCATTTTTGTTAAAATGAATAAAATGATTAAAATGCATGTTTGAATGGTGGTTTCTTTGTAAAGAGGTTTCTTTATCTCCTAGTTCAAATTGAACTGAAGGAGAAGAGATGATTTGAGACAAAGGAGCATAGTACTAGCAGTTAAACCAAGAATGACCAATACAACTTTGAGACAATGAGAGGGGGAGATTCCTATTGCTAATGAACACTCTGTCTTGTTTGAATCACCTTTTTGAGGAGGTCCAAGAATGGTTGATACTCATGTCAGTTGGTATGGATTAGTTTTCTTCAATTTTTACTGCAGTACAGACTACTGCCTAGTACTTCATCTGAAGAATTGCTAGCAGTAGACAGCCTTTTTAGTAAGTGCCAACCCCAAATCCTGACAAGCATGGAATGCCATTCCTATCAATCGCTTCTTGATAGCAAGTATTTTGTTTGTCCTCACCCTCCTAAAATCTGCTGCATTTTGGTTGAAGATACAGTAGAACAAGATTGACTGGTAGTAGTACTATAGTAGCATATTAGGTATCCTAATTATTTAGATAACTGTTGTGCAATGCATCAAGAACTTATTTATGATAGAAATCAGAAAAGCTTCTCTCTCTTCATCTCATGTTTCTGCATATTGCTGAGAAAAGTGTAACTTCAATACCCCATCAATAGGAACACTTCCAACTTTCAAAAAATTGTGTGCACACTCCTCATTCTTTGGTTGAAAGTATATCATCAGCAAGTGTTTCCTCACTGGCATTGTTGTCTTTGATTCAGCATTGAAGGTGTTCTCAAACGCTTGTCCGTGCTACGTCGAAATGTGCCTACAGGCTCGGCAAAGATGAATGGTTTCGATACTTTGTTCAAAACGAGATATTCACTGCTACCTTATACTACATTATCCTCCGGTAGCCAATAGTCGTCACCATAGTCGAAACAAATTTCTTCTCCGATTTCTATGTCTCTGATTGAAACAAACCAGACTCTTGGATTTCCGTCTATTCCCTGGTGCAAACTCTTGGGATTAACGTTCGACGCAGGTGGTGACGCGTGATTTAGAAATCGTGTCCATAAGCTGCAATACTCATCCTCGGCGTCGACAAAAATTTGGGACGATTTGTTGGGCACATGGACACCATACAGATATGTCCCGGTCATCGTTTGTCCTCTGTCGATACGGGATTGCCTCCATAACTCGTCAACTGGTTGGCGGAGATGAGCACAGGAATCTAAATACCTCCTATCTTTTTCTTCTTCTGTCATCACTTCTCCTTTGTAGTCGCCCACAACCTGGCCAGCGGGAATCTTGACATTCGTTATGACTCCTAGACCTTTCCCTGGAATTTCTTCTAGCCGCAAATGATCGGGGAGACTCTGACGAGCCGGGGTGTTCATTTCTGGCCCTGTTGACGCCTGCGACGACGCGGAGTTAGAACCGTTTCCATTACCAAACGATACGGCCGAAAATGCCGATACAGTGGTAGAAGACAGTGATATCGCAACGGCGAGAAAGGCAATCGTTCGAGTTAGGAAAGACATCTTCATTTGAGACAGACGTGTTTTCTTTAATCTCTTGTTTCTGGAGTGATCTATCTGCAGTCGTCGCATCTCGTGCGTACTAATAGAAATCGTATCGGTAAGCCGTACTTGTTTGAGTTCGAAATAAGACTATTGATTTTTAACAGGTTATGAGTACAATAAAACGTGCCAGTTTTAGCTAACTTTTCTTGCTTGTGAATTGTTAATGCTAACAAAGCACCAACCAGGATTAGAGAATCTGTCAGTTGGAAAGGGTTTTCTTTTCTCTTCACATAGATGTGCACATTACTGGGTGTTTGTTTTTAAAAAACCTTTTTGGGCTTGTTGATTTCTTCTCTCAGTACCAAAATAAAAAACTCTCATTTGATGATTGTTGTGAAGCCCACTAGCAACACAGCAAGAAGCTGTCACTCCTCCAGTTCTTCATCAATACCCAACCAATTGTACTCACAAGACAGTTGTTCTATTCCTTGCATGAAGGGAAAAAGATCCAGAAGTTGCAGATCAATTGACCAAGTGGTTTAGAAGCTTGTAGCTGTATTCAATATGTAATGGATGCAATTGTTAGTAAGCTATATCCTGACACATCAAATTTTCCAGGGAAGAGAGTACTAATGCTAATTGTGGCTAGTGAACCATGACAAAACAACAAAGCTATGTTGGCAAGCCTTGCTGATTGTGGGTTTCTCCTCCATCCTGGGGTTTCAAATACAACCCTCCCCTACTGACCAAAATTATGGATAATCTTGAAAAACTTTCACATTTTTGGCAAACACAGAACCATAATCTTTGGCAGTCTGGTTATCTGTTGCTGGTTTATGGGAAGTGTGATGGCTGGAATGAAAACATGGTTTTGTAGCATGCGTTTGACCAGGCTTTTTCGGTGGAGAAGTGCAAAGATGTGTGGCACACTATTAGCATTAATCCATTTACTGGAAAATGTCCCAAGGACAAAAAGTGCAACACAAACTGATCCTTTTGCCAGATAGCTCCATTGATCTAGCAACAGATCCAAACATAGCTGCACTGGTGGTACATGAGAAAAAGAATTCCACAGCAATTAAAGGATTGAACAATGCTGGTTTTAATGGGGACGTTTTTGCAAATATACACCATGAAAGAGTAAGCAGTTGGTACAACAAGTGACAGAACCAAATACCAGAGCTCTGCAAGATTCAAATTGCAGGGGTAAAGTAATCACAACTGGCAGAGGCATGCTCAACACAAAGGACTGGTTCATTGCAAAAGAAAGAACCAGACAATTGGATGAGATTCAACACTTGGAAGCAAAGAAGAAGGTTGCAAAATCAGCAGAAGCTTTGAGAAGCAAAGCTGTTGGTTTGATTGAGAATTTTGCTTCCAAGGGAAAAGATGTTAAGAATGAGGAAGATGCTAAGTCCCTCCCAGTTTCCACACTGAAGATTTTGTGCCAGTGGAAGCAGCAAAAGAAAATTCCTATTAAGAAAGACAAACTGTTGTATACATGGATGAAAGTGAAGAATAATCCCACCCCTCCATCAGCTTCTTGGACTGATGCTGAGGAGGCTCTATTGCAGAGACTGAAAGAGGATTATATAACTATCATTGAGACTGCATATGGAAGGGAGAGAGTGAGAGAGATCGAAGAACCAAGCACTGCCCTTCCTACTAGCAAGTTTGACTGTAGAAGAGAGAGTTGCCTCCAATATGCCAGTTGATGTGCTAGGGGGAGTGAAAGGACTAGTAGTAGAAGCTCTGTAAAATTCCTACTGTTAAAAAGCTGTGACGTCGTAATTCGGACCCAAAGGGTACTGTAATGTGCTGTTGGACGTACAAGTTCTGTTGAATCACGTCAAGTTCAATTTTGGATCTGAAACACAGTGGGGGTACTAACAGTTTGACTACTAACTGAGTCTTGGAACAATTCAACATCCAGTAGAGAAAGCTGGTTGGGGTTGGGGTTAAGAGTCTTAAACACATATGTACCGTAAAGGAACTACTGCTACTACTACCACTGCTACGGCATTACAAGTACTACTAGCTAGTACTAGTACAAAAGCGATAATTAATATTACTACTAGTAGTAGCATGAAAAAATCTGTCTGATCGTTATTAGAAGTACTACCTAGCTAGTACTGAAAGGATTTCTAGTTACTTTATTGAAGTACTAGTAGTAGTACTGTACTATTGCAATTTCTTCGAATGGGCTGCACTCTTCCTTTTCTTGTCCATGCCACGTTTATTAGTACTAGCAGAATTATTTGTTTCCCAAATGTTTCGCCTTGAACTTCTTCACGTACTTCGCCACTAGTTCACGACATTCACTGATGAAACAATCGCTTTTTGGATCGATTTTGGGTTTTGCTTCGACCAACGTGATTTCATAGTTCATGATTACATTGGTTGCAACCCATGCAGTGAACACGAGGCAAAAATAAACACAAAACCTATGAACCATGAAATGAGTCGATCGTTGAATTCGGCAGAGGAACTTCCTATTCGAACGCCAGAGTCTCCGAGTGAGACACTTGAAAACACATTTGCTTTTGTCAAAGAGGGTCAAAGGATCGGCCTTATCGTCAGTTGCACCTCGAATGCCATCGTGGACGGAATGATCGATATGCCCATCGGTTTCGTGTCGTTTATCGGGGTAGTTGGAGATGGTCGTCGCTTTCAGAGCTTTGGGGGACCAAAGAAGCATTGTGCACAGGAAGACCTGGCTCATAAGAATCTGGGTCCTAGGCTTTTTGGCCACATGTATCATCGTTGTCAAAATATTCCCTGCGACAGATGCTATCGCTTCCGACGTCGACTTCGAAATAGAATTGGCGAACCTCGATAAATTTTTTGCGATGAAATCCATCGTTGAATTTTTTTGGGCTATTTCACTTTTGTTGTTGGTGATGGTAGACGATTTGTCTCTGCAAGCAAATTATGATCCCTGCTCCTTAACTTTTGGTTCCTCGAGAGTTGCGTTAAAATCCACTCGTAGCAGACGCAGTCGACGCTTGAATGTCATGAAGAGTTCGATCGGCCCCCTCGCAACGGATTTACAATTAGTTGCGTAGAACATCTGCGCATTGTTCCAATGTAGCGTGCCGAAAGTTGAGTCGGTTTTTCCATCCGAAAACTGACACCCGAAACGAAATAGATCGAAATAGACCGCTGCAAATTATTACGGTAGGGCTGTAAACATTGAATGCAGTGGAAGTGCGATACCGTACCGCAGATTAACGTCCGTTGTTAGATACTGCAACGTTAGCAGAAACAGATCACGTCGGTTGCTCCGGATGGCCGATCTTACTCCATAAAACGAAACAAAGGGTACGTATCCCAACGGAAAACTATTAGGATTGAAAATATGAATTTCCACGGAGGTGCTCTGGCTCGTACTGCTTGGATCGATCTAATGCTGTCGAAGGTGCAGCAGAGCCCTTTTCCGTTCCAAAAACAGACGAGCAAATGCGTCTATTGCCGTAATTTTCAAGTGCTGGAAGTACCAGTACATAAAGTACAGGTACTCGTACGAGCTCGTATCGTAGCGTTCACTACACTTTCTTGCCTTTCTAGTGTAAAAACCAACGTACTGCTGTACTGTACCGTAGCTCCTCAAATATTTTCAGGTTTTAAGGTTTTACCAAGTTCCCTGTACTACAGCAGTACCGTACAGTATTGCATTGGGGAGATCTTCCGTACTGTAAGTATCGGTACACGTACTTACCTCTTCCGCGTTGGATTTTCGGAAAAAAATGACCGACGTCGGCGACTGACGATATCTGAAGCTACGAGTCCTGTACCGGTAGTGCAAGCACTGTGCAGGTACGAGTATGGCGGTATCAGTTTCAATGTCGTTGTCGTAACTTTACAAGTGCAAGGCACCCGTACGCTAGACAAGCATTTTACGAGGAATTTAGAAAATACGTTACTTGAATCATTTCTACCCTCCTCTCTCTTTTGAACCTAGTTAGTCGGGAGCGCAACGACCCCCCCCCCCAAAATAGATAACATTATGATTTCATCGAGTACTGACAATTCAGCTGTAACTGTCTCAGCTCCCGGCAAAGTCCTGTTGGCTGGCGGTTATCTCGTATTAGAAGCACCCAATGCAGGTTTCGTCATCGCGGCCGACAAGCGATTTTACACGACCGTGGATGCCGGGAGTGACAAGGGCGATGACCACGAAACCAAGCATCTGATGCGCATTCGAGTCGAGTCGCCACAGTTTCATTCGACTTGGAATTATACGTATGAAAAATCGAAATGCCAACTGGTCCCATCTCCCGAAAACCAAAGCGTAAATCCGTTTGTGGAAAAATCTCTGAGGGTGTGCTTGATCTATCTTTTGCAGTCATCAAAATCTGCCGGTTCCGCCATTCCATCCTCTCTGAATATCCTCATCCGAGCCGACAACGACTTTTACAGCGTCTTGCCCCATTTGCCCGCAGACTCAAAGAAAACCCCAGCCGAAGTCGCCGCTCTTCCAAAATTCCTCCCGTGCCCCGTCGATCCGGACACAGGCAAGGCCATCGTTCACAAAACTGGGCTTGGTTCTTCGGCCGCGCTGACTACCAGCTTAGTGGGAGCGCTTGTCCATTATTTTTCGCGGCAATCTCCCGACGAAACGGATCAGCTATCGCCGATGATCCACAATCTAGCGCAAATATGTCACTGTCACGCCCAAGGAAAGGTCGGGAGTGGATTTGATGTCAGTGCCGCTTGCCACGGGACCCACGTCTATCGACGTTTTCCAAAGTGTCTCTTGCCGGATTTGTTACAACTTCTCGACCAATTCGAGAAGCAGCCCGATGGAAACAATGAACAGCACGTGCTGCTTGGTGAAACCATTACAAAATTGGTCGAACTTGTTCCCTGGAAAGAAGATATGGTCACCCCAATCAAGCTCCCGAATGATTTGCAGTTGATATTGGCCGATGTTCGTGGGGGATCAGAATCTCCGAGCATGGCGAGGACAGTTTTGAAATGGAAGGCAGGAAACAAGAATAGCGAAAACGACGAAGTTCCCCACTGGTCCGCTCTGTCGAGACTGAATCCAAAGATTGTTGAATCCATGCAATTGTTGGCAACAGACGACACAAAGAACGTCAACTACGACTCTTTAGCAAAGGCGCCCTCGTCGGAGTGGTCATCGGACGCCGATTCCACTCTGATTTCACTGCGGGATACCTTTGTCCAGATCCGCAACGAGTTGCGATCAATGGGGGAAGCCGCCGACGTACCGATCGAGCCCCCACCGCAGCAAGAACTGTGCGACGCGACATCAAAACTACCGGGCGTTGTTACGGCATTGGTTCCCGGGGCCGGTGGATACGATGCCGTGGCGTGTTTGTACATCAATCGACCCGAGGTTGTGAAGTCAATTGGTGAGTTGTGGTCCTCGTGGACTTCTCCGGTCGTGTGTCCGTTGGCGGTCCGGGCCGGTGATGAAGGACTGCGAGTGGAGAACGAATCAGACTTCAACGAAAAGAAGAGGAAACAAATAGAGTAGTTCAATAATTTTGAAAAGTGAATCTACCTTTTGAGTTTCAAATCAGATTGCCCATCAATTCAACTCCGACTGCGTGCTGTCGCCCAGCATGATTTATCATGATGAATTTATGTTTCTATCTTGTATTACGACTTTGCTATACGCTTCTTTCAAGACTGCATCTTTCAAGGCTGACAACAAGAATAACTCGATTTCTCATGTTGTGGTAGGAAGGCAAGTGCATCGTTCTTGTAGCGTTGTACTCGTAGTAAGAATGGAAAAACCTGAAAACCACCGCAGCACAGTGCTCACGTACCGTACGTACGTAGTCTACCTCGAAAATCGGATATTTTCCGAAAAATGTGGACAGAAATAGTCTCGAATTGGATTGATTTCAATCCAAGACTGGCATTTCAATTTAGTCCCTTTACCTCCGAGGTTTTACATACCGTACATAGAAGGCTACCGGTATTTGGAGCTAATACAATCTTTGCGTCCGCTGAACTCGCGGTTTCAAAACATCAGTTGAAATCGTTCGCCTGTCAGTCGTCAGCGCTGGTAGTTACGGGACATGATGGTTCAATTCCCATGGTACCGGCCGGTACGCCGTTTTCAAAATCTCAGCTAAAGATTTAAAAGCCTGATTGACTCGTACTCGTGCTCGTGCCATGGTTTTTGAATTCTCGCTCGGAGTTTACGTGGCTCACGCGAGCCCGTCAATCCTACTGGTATTATGTGTATTTGGCTGTCATTTGATTGACTATGATACAACATCGTTTCAAACTCTTGAGAGACACGAGTCCGGCGGCATCGAACAATTATTAATGTTCGCGTGCATTCGAACGACTTATTGTATTTAGATTCACTGTTTGAGAGGAACGATCTTCTCTGACCTAAATTGAAGGAAGCTTGCAACAATTAAAAATAGTCGAGATTCACATCTCCTAGTACGAGAAAGGACCTTTCTTACTACTGTGACGGATAACATTGTCATCAGTATCATTGCGACTAGTGATCAATCATCGGTTTCACTCGATCTATTGTTTACTCGAGTCAACAAACAACGGCTCTCTCGTTCTCTATTTGAAAAGCTACCCTAGAATCCGATCCTCCAATCGGTAGCTTTCACTTTGTTCCGGTACATAGTACATTCGTACCGGATAGCAATCCGCATTGGCGATGGTAACTAAAGAGGAGTTAATGATGACCACAATGGCGCAGTACTCAAAACCAAGTGTCTCGGTGAGACGCAGGACTCGGCAGAATAGAATCATGCCAACTGTTCGCGGATTCTTTCTGTTCACAATAGCTTTGATCTCTAGATTTGGATATTGCAGCAGTAAAAAAGACGACTTGCAACCGTACCACCAACTGGTTCCCAGAGTACATGCTGGCGTTGAACAAGATTTTCACGAACTGATGTCCGAAATGCATCAAGCGGAGGACTCCGGTAGTTCCGTTGAACGAATGATGCAAAGCAAAGAGGACCTTGCATTCTGCTACGATGCGTTGTACCTAGCCGATATGAACAATGATAACATGGTGAACAGGGACGAATTTGTTACGTTTGCACAGATCATGGGTCCAACTGGGTTTCTTCCAAACGCAAACGTCTTTCAGGACTTACCCCTCATCTTGCAAAGTAATTTCATCATCCTTTCGTGCCTTTGCTTGCAGATGCCGACATTTGACGGAGGAAACGTAGTTGATCCGCAGTGTTGTGCCGTAAATCCTCACATCGACGTGGATGGGTCACAACCAGGAGAGATCCCTACCTCCCAACAGTCACAATACCTCTATCAGGTTTGCTTTTTGACGGAGACTTCGATTGAACGATTATTGCTTAGTGAGACACCAACTACAGAACCCACTAAAAAGATAATTCCTACCAGTCCTCCATCAATGGCACCAACAAACACACCGACGAACGAACCGAGCGATGAGCCCACCAATACACCAACAGTAGAGCCGACAGCGGAGCCCACTGAAATGCCCACCGACACACCGAGTGCACATCCTACAGCTGAACCCACTGGAACACCAACTGCAGAGCCCACCAGCAAACCTACAGATGAACCGAGCCCAGAACTTTCTGACCAACCTACCGACACACCGACGAAAGAACCTACGGAAAAGCCTTCGGGAGAACCTAGCGGAGAGCCCACCAAAACACTGACGGATGAGCCCACAATCTCCCCTACAGTTTCCCCTACACTGTTTCCTACAACGTCAGAACCTTCTATGCGACCGACTACGAGCCCAACAGAGAAGGTTGAACCAACAGTCAGCCCCACTGTGCAAGATATAAACGTTACCCCCGTGCCCACACAATCACCTACAGTGACAAGTGTACCGACACCGTCATCTGTAGTGGAGGTTGCTATTGCCAAGTATGGAATTGCGATTGCCGACGGTAAGACCGAGGAGATCCCTCAATCGTCATATGAATCCGACTTGATTGAAAGTATGAACATTGTGGCTGAAGATGTCGCAGACGACCTGAACTCATCATTAAACGAGGGTGATAGGCTTCTTCAGGAGCAACGTGAAAGTGGCACTGCTCTGCGACGATCGTTGCAACAAAATCATCGAAAGTTGGAGAGTAGTTTAGCCGTTAAGCTTCCGACTGTTATTGATGACATTGCTGGATCGGAATGCCCTTCGTTTGTGCCACCGAATGACGAGTGCAAAGCGGTGACAGCTTCCGTGGAGCTAGATATCGCCGCGGTCGGAATCAATAGCTCAACTGATATCAAAAATTTGTTTGAAGAAAGATTGAATTCTGCTATCGAAAACGGGGCTTTGCAGGCTGCCTTGGTCGAAGTAAATCCCAACTCGGTTGTGTCAATCATCAACGGCGCCGCTCCTGGTCCACCGACGCCGACAGCGTCTCCCGTAACATTGACGCCAACTACAGTAGCCACTGTAGAGCCTGTCCCTATCTCTCCAGGTGGAATAGCCGGCCTCGTTTTAGCTGGCATTGGCGGTTTGATCATTGGGTTCCTCATCATAACTTATTTGCGTCGTCGAGGTGCAACGGATGGTGGAGTCAATGCTGTCGGTGCCTATGCCGTGCCTGCTGAAGAATCGGCAGATGTCGAAGAAGCGCTTCTCAAGAACACAGAGGCACAGGAAATTGACTTGGGTTCACGAGAAGACAGCAGCTTTGACAAGGATGAAAAATATGAGACCCTGCATTCTCAAATGCCGACCATAGTTGATTCGGGACCACCCATGGTTGACACTGGTACGGTTGCAACAGCAGCCTTCATTGGTACCGGGGGAGCGTTAGCAGCGGCAGCGGCTCTGGAAAGCAACGATAATCAAGCAAGCCTCGACACCAGCCCTGGAAAGAAGAAAAGAGCCTCTGGCAATCTATACGGTTCTGACGAGGCCTCCTCCGCTGGAGAATCTGGCTGGTCGTCGAACCAAGATGGCTCTTCAGCAAATACTTCGATGGATGCTAGTCTAGACAGCATACCCCAATCAGCTATCTCTGGAGTCTCACCAGTGGTATTAGGTGATATCGCTGCAGTGGGAAGGGATAGCGAAACTGTCGATCAAGCATCTCCGTCGCCGGCGAGCCCAGAAAGGTTGCAAGTATCGACAGAGGAGGAGCAAGTCAATTATGTATCTCAAAGCCTCAGTCCTACGAATACAATTAGTCCGGAAAATAGCAGGAGTGCTCAAAGCCAGACCAACAGTCAAGAAAATCAAAGCTATACGGGAACAACTGGAACGGAAGGAAGCATACAATCAACCTATTCTGAGCTTGACGAAGCCATCCAGAAAGGTGACTGGGCCGCAGTAGGTGTTACGGCAGCTCTTTTGGCTTCTCAGGCTTACGGAGAGGAAAGTACGCAGGGCAGCAGCAAGAATAGCAGCGTAAGATTTATTAGAAAAGATGCGCCTTTGGATCCAGAACGCGCTGCAGAATTGGACCTTCTCGTAGAGAGTGGTGACTGGGAAGGTGTTGTAGCAGCCGCAGCCAAGTTCGACGCTCAAGAAGCGTTGCGTGGAGACCCTCAATCGCCACAAAATTCTGCTGGATCTGCAGTTTCTGTATCTTCTGCGGCTGGGTCGAACAATAGCTCAGCTCTCTCGGGATCAGTGGATGGATCCTCCAATGGCACCATTCCTTCCAATATGTCAGGATCGCAAACTATCGATACGACAACAAGTCCATCTACCTACACGGCTACCGGTCTAACTGCTACTAGCGATACCGCCTCCACGCGGTCCAAGGCACGAAAATTGAATGAAATCCGAGACGAAGTAGAAGCTTTGGTAAATGCCGTCGTTCCGGAAGAAGCTGAAAACATCGATGAAATGATGACACAGTTCCGTGGCCGCGAGGAGGAATTGGTAGAAACACTTAGATCGATGCAAGAACGATTAGTAGCTCAAAAAGCGCGAAAGGAGAGCCAAAAACAGGCCAAACGGCAGGCAAAGGAGTATGTACAAGACAAGAAGAAGCAAGAATCAGCAGGAGACACTGATGTGGCTACTGATGCAGCAGACGACATGTGGATAAAAGAAATCGAGGGATCGAGCGGTGCCGCCGATGCCTTAGCGGGCACTTCTGTTGCGAGAGGAGAGGCACTCGAAACACCATTTGAAGTAGACGAAGATGCAGAGGCCAAGGCTATGAAGACTCAGCTTAAAGAAGCCATCAGCAACGAGGATTGGGAGAACGTAGCAGAAGCCGCTGCAGGTCTTTCTTCGCACGCTTTCAAAAAACCTGGAAGTTCGCAAGACAGCAGGTCGGAAGCATCGAACCGTAGCGTTGACATTAACGCTTTAGTTGACGAGGGTGATTGGGATGGCGTTGTTGCTGCTGCAAGTAAGTACAGGGAGGCGGCAAGTACCCCGGGAAGTAGTTCGAATGCAGAAACAGATATACCGGATGATTCCACAATAGAAAGAAGAAGAAAGCGACGAGAAGAAAGGCTGAAGGAAGAGGAAGAAGCCTTAGCACAAGCTCAGATATGGGATGCCATTGCCGACCAAACGAAGGTAGATAACAAGGCAGAGGGAAGCGCCGCTGGACTGGCTGCAGATTGGGCCATCGATCAAAGCCTTGCGGCGCTAAAGAAGGCAGAAGAGGAAGGCGATGAAGACAGCCAGGAATCTGATGAAGACCAAAGAAATGACAATGAAAGTTTATAACAACTTTGATAAACATTAGCCCAAGTTTTTGAATGTTACAATAATATTAATCACAACATCATTAGTGCCACTTGATAACTGTCGATTAATCTTTATAGCTTAGGTGCAATTATAATTTATGCATGGCAATCGCACCTGGAAAGAAGATTGCCAGTGAAACTATCGATCTTGAACACCAAAATCATCGGTCTTTGTTTCGAGTTCTTTCTGGCTCAGCAGCTTTGGATACAGTTACAATATCGATGTTTTCGCTGCGCTCAGTTAGAGCAATATCGTCAATAGAAATTCTTTTCGTTGCATCGTTTGCATTGCTTTCACTGTATTGTTGCTGCGACCGTTTCATTGCCTTTGCAAACAATTTCAGAGAGTGATATTCTTGTCGGGTCATCCTTCGAGATGACCAGTCGCCTTCTTTTTTATTCGTTTCGCATTCGCCCACTCTATCGATTTCTGCATTGCATTTCGCACGCTCTTTCATGAACTGGCCAAAGAGAGTCCCCTCTTCCTCTTGCTCAGTAGGAGAGTGGAGCAAAGGGGGTGGAGGCTCTAAAAGTTTTCGAACATCTCTTTCTAGAGTGTTCGTGATCTTTTCCAAAAATAGATCATTGTAGCGATCTTTTCGCCTCTTTCTATTCCTCCATCTTGACCCGCGACTCTTTCTTACTTTTTTATTGCAATCATTTTGATTCGCGTCGCAGCTGCTGATGCTCTCAGCTTGAAGATTGCTGCATTCCTCCCTCAACGAATTCTGATCGAAATTTCTCAAGTAGAACCGATCGATTGCTCCGTTTGTCGTGCAAGACTTTTCGAGTATCTTTTGGCAAGTCCGCTTTATTATTTCGTCTTCGGTCACCGCATCGTCAATGTCATCAATTATATCCTCAACAAGAACTATGTCATCATTATCGATATCAACATCACTATCTGTGTCCTGATTATCATTCTGAGTAAGCAATACAATCAATTCCTCTTCGGTGTGATTGCTGCTACCGTATTCTTCATAATACCGAATCCAAATCTGTTCATACGAAGCACCATTTGGTTGGAATTTTCCATACTTGTACAATTGTCGAAAGCCATCGATCAGATACGCTCCAACGCGAGAAGGCACCCTACATCTTTCCCGGACGTACATTTTTGCTGCTTTGCGGGCTTCGTATGCAAGAGGTGCCAATTCTTCTGGTCTCACTATTTCGTCTCCCAATTCCAAGACTAGTTCACTTAATGCAGCAGGAAACAATAATCTCTTGTAGAGACGCCTTGCTGTTTGCGCATCGAGGTCCCCCCACCATCGGTTCCGGTTTCTTCCGAAGGCTTCCCTCAAACCTTCTTGGCTAGTATAACGTTCCGCCCATTCGTGTTTTCGGCGACGGTATTCTCTTGTTCGCAATGGAAGTTCTTGTCCTGAGCTATCCACAGTTTCGATGGTTATTATGTTGCTCCTATTTTTATTTTCTTTCTCTTCCGTGCTCACGTTGTTCCGAGAAATACCCGACTCACGCGAATGAGAACCCGATGACAGGGATAGCACTGCAACGTTCGAAACGAACGTATATCGAGAGGACAATGAATGCTCCCTGTGATAAAAAGAACGCCCATTATATCTGTTCGTTTTCCTTTTCGTCCCCGCTTCTGCCCCCCAATCAGGCTTCCCTTTCATTATCGTGTTACTGCCGAAAGGAAAACATATCGCGTAGGAAAGGAGCGAGAGAAATAGCGACGACGCCACCAACAATCTCCGAGGTTGACGACGTCGACAATGACTTAATTCATTGGATAGGATACTACATTTGGAACGAGATCGATTCCTTTCAATGCACCTCCGCTCCACCATGGTTTCTTGTTTCTCGCCTAAATCCAGAAGATGAGACTCAGTGCACAAAAAGTCAGTTTGACGATGATCATAAACATTACTGAGGGCTTCCAATTTCGAGAAAATGCCTTTACCTGCAGGGATTGTACGGTTCGTTACGTAGTAGTCTTGCTCTATGAGAAAGCAGTCTCACAATTCCTAAGAAATTGCAAACAATCTATTGGCTGTGTGCAATTAGTACCATTTTTCCCGCGATCTAGATGTCATCACCGCGTCATCCGACATCTGGTCTGACAGTAGGGCGTTCTGACACCTAACGGTTCGGTTCAACGTGAATCAACCTTTCTAAAAATAAAGTACGGTACTACGGTATCGGGAAAGACTTAATTAGCGTTTCAGAGTTGGGTTTTCACCAAAACCTAGAACTGGTACCGGTACGAGTAAGTGCGGAGGTACGATACTGCCGTACTACAGTACTTGTATTCGTAATTGCTCGTACGTACGGTACGGTAGCGGTACGTAATACAGTACAGTACAATAATAAGTAAGCAGTACTCGTTTCTTGATGTGCTACAGTACTATTGCAATACTTCTACATGCTTTGCATATAGTACGTTGCTTCCTGCTTCTGCACATGATGCAATACAACAAATCAAACAGTAAACACCCTCCTTAGCTCAACAATACGTTGAAACGAGAGAGCCAAGCACGAGAAAAAAAATCTAGAGCAATCTAGGCAAACTACAAGGAAAGCATACGAAAATCATGTTTCAGCGAGCGCATTCATCCCTTCTAGAGTTGAAGCGGATTCTCCCAGGTCTCTTTGTCGTGTACACATCATTTCTGTATCAGCTCAATAGTCCGACCTGATTAATTTTGACTCAGGTCATTGTAAACTCAGATAGATGAAAGGGAGCATACGACTTTTCATAAATTGAAAACAAATCTACTGTGATATGAACGAAAAAGTAGTTCGAAGTTTTAAGTGCTATCGTCATAGCCACTATCATCGTTAACATCATTATCTAAATATGACACTAGATCAATCAAACCGAACCATGCGTCACGTATACGTCAATACAACCACGCCTACCATTTTCGGAAACCGAAAACAGCACAAGGTAATTTTGGTTTCCTTATGAAAAACTGTTGGTGACATGATTGAACATTGGACTGAGAGACGGCAATATGAGCTGCGCTCTATTTGAAGAAATTTAACTGGCAATCACAGGTCGTAACCCCTAGACAGTGATTCTTTTCACGAAAGCAATGTATGCTTTGTCATCACTAACGACTACTACAATGGTACGAGTACATGTTACCCTATGGAAAAGGCGTTGATGGCCAGTTGTTGGAATTTATTTGCTGAGCTTAACATTCATTCCTCATTGGCTGGGAGTAGCTGTTATTGTTGTCCCCTCGATTGTGCAATTTCGTTCATGTCAAAATCCATTCCAAACTCGCGTCCGTCAAATTCCCACAAACTCGTCAACACGACATCGGCTCCGCCTTCGTTGAGAAATAATCGAGTTCGTTCTTTGTTGGAGAAGCGTGGGTCGGGAACGGCAACGACCTGGCATCCTGCCGCCTTCCCCGATTTCACACCGGAGAGCGCGTCCTCGAAGACCAAGCATTCTGTTGGATCCACACCTAGACGGCGAGCAGCCTCTAGATAGATGTCGGGTGCTGGTTTTCCATTTTTAACGGCGGGATCATCCCCCGTGACTATTTCATCGATGCATTCGAACAGATCTTTTTCGTGGCGGGTCCGTTTCTTATCTACGCCAGACATTCGGCTTGACGTTGCGATAGCTAGAGGAATTTTCGAGTTCGAAGAATTGCAAGATGAGATGATACTTTTGACCAACGCCTTCGCGCCTTCGCAAGCTTCGATCTCAGAGCACATGCCGTTCAAATTTTGCTCCCACAAATTGATTAAGTCTTCAGCGGTTGGGAGAGAGCGTTCGCAGTGCTGCCTAGCAAAGTCCAAGCATATCGGTGCCCATTCTTTCCCACGCAAACCAAGAATCTTCTTTTTTAATTCCCAGGGCAGCCGCCATTCCGACGTCGGGGGCTTCGACCGGAGCGATTCTGGCAAACGTGGTTGGTCACTATCGTCATCGTTGTCACTGCAACCAAATAAAGCCATTAAAATGGCTTTGTCAGCTAGACTTTCGGTGTCCAAAAGAGTCCCGTCCATATCAAATAAGATTGCTTTGATTTCCTTTATATTCTTTGTCGATTGCACTTTGAAAGAGCAATTTTCTCCAGCGATTGATGCCGCCATTTTTATGAAAGTCTCAGAGTGAGGCCCGGCGTTGCAGTAATATTTGTCTGGTATCAATTTTTTCGATTGCGGAAATAACAACGACGATGGCGCTGCTTTCCAAAACGAGGGATATCTTGAATATGGGACCTTTAAGAAACCGATAGCTGTGTTGCAGCACAGGAGCAAAAAAATCAGCAGACGTCGGATGATAAGTGATCCTGATGATCTATGAAACGCCAAAAACATATTTCTTGCAGCCCCGATGTGCTGCGATGTTATTACTCTAGATTCACGATCACCGTAATTTTTTCTGCGGAGTTGATCCTAGTCGAGAGGTTCGTAATACGTGCAGACAAGCTATAAAAGTACGACATATTAGTACCGTAGCATCAGGTTAGTGCTGTTGCCGGCTCTAGGACAGAGTACGATACCGTACGGCACTCGTATGGGTACGTAATAGTAAGGAACCTCGTAGTCATGTCCCCCGCATGTTTGAGAATAGAGAACAAGCACAGGGTCTAACTGCAACGAGCGTCGGTCCCACGAGAGCGCAGGTGATCGCGCGAGACCAAACGGCATATATATGAGAACCGAGCCAACCGACCCCTTTGGACATTCCAGATCAAGTCCCGGATCAAGGGTACAGAATCCCTATCGAACAGATTCACTTCTCCTTTGCATACCTTTACTTTCTAGCTTAATCCATAATATTTATAATTCACCCAAATTACGTACTTCGATCACGTAGTTGGTGCACTAACAATGACAAAAGGATACAGGGTACTTTAGGTCCTGTGACTCGTACGCTAGAAGTACGAGTACCCTACTCGTACTTGTGTACTACGTACATACGTAATTTACGCCAAGTTCGATGACGTGTGTTTGTAGGATAGCATATGTCAAACTTCCATCTGTTACGCGTACTCGTATCAACATACGGACGTACATGCGTACTCAGATCATCGTACGTACGTACCAGTACTTGTGGATGGTGGGAAGATGTAACGTTACGTTACTTCTGTGCAGCATTTTACTTCTAGAAGTAGTACGTAAAGTACTAATTATTTAACTGCTGCCGTTCGGTGATTTTATTACTGTAAAATTCAGAAGGCATTACGATACTGTACGGTACTTTGTTTGTACTGTTACAGGACAAAAATTCAATACTGTAGAGTAGCAGTAAAAAATACTAGAAGTACGAGTACTTACGGTAAAGTACTAATTTTGATCCCGCCTCTTTTTAATTGCCTGTGTTCTGTGGATAGCAATTTTAGATTAATACCCCTACCAGTAACGAACTAAAAATGACTTCCAAAGAGTCATATCGACCCATTGTGACTGCCGTGCCGTTGCCATGGAAATGTCACAAAATTATCAGTATCGTACTATTATTTACAAAAGTATCAATATATATTTAAGCTATTTTTTTACAAGTTCTCATTCAGTTCTGATTTCGCGAAAAAATCTTGGCCTCCACCGTTCAACGTAATCGAATGATCGAACTACCGTACGGTGCGCTTCTCATTTTCAAACACTTTCCATAAATCACGGTATCAATTATCGACATGTTTCGCAACGAGAATGCATTGCCTCCTATCTCCGATGACGAAGAGTTTGATCTGATTGTTGTCGGAAGTGGTAATGGAGCCTGTGGGTTCTTAGGCGAATGCCTCAAACATGTCCCGTCCGATTATAGAATTTTGGTTCTTGAGCAGGGACAGAACTATTTTTACACGTCCGATGTTACGCACCAAAATGGATGGTCGAAGACTTATGGAACCGGCGATATTTTTCAGCTCCACAACACTGTTACGCCGGACGGTAGGTCGGTACTTTCTGGTAGGGCCAAAACAATGGGGGGCGGTGGTTCCATCAACTATACAATGATCCATGAAAGCTCGGAATGGTTGGTCAAACAGGCGGGTCGGGACGTCGCTTACTGGAATGAATGCAAAAAGGAACTGAACGACTGCCTAAATCGACCCAACCCCTTTACTCCAGGATTTCAAACACCCTTCGCGAAATTCATTGAGAGTAATGCCGAACAGTCAGGATTTATGGGCCCAAACAAGCGTGATATGATTGGAAACATCCCAAGCAACTCCGAAGCCTCGAATGAGGATAAAGAATCAAAACGAATTTACATCTTTCCGACTCAATTTAATCAATTTGGACAACGTACTAATAGTGGTGTATCTCTCGTCCAATGGGAAAGAGTACGTTTTAGATGGAATACAAGTGTCACGGATCTGGTGATGGTCAAGAGCGACACGGATCCGAACATCTACACCTGCACCGCTGTTCAAACGAAGAACAAAAAAGGCGCTTCAGCGGTGTACAAAGTCAAGAATGGAAGTGGTAGAGTTGTGTTGTGTGGAGGCTCAGAGAGTCCACGATTGCTCTTGCAGACAAAGGAACTAGCCGACGAAAATCCAAAAATCGGGACTCGTGTCAACGACCACATTTGTATGCCGCTTGCAATCTATGTTGTTGAAGAGGAACAGGCGCTAGCGGTTGGTCCCACCGATAACTATGAATCTCTTTTTGCTACAGTGAATTTTCGTCACGGTGATAAAGGAGGTGAATATCAAACCGCCCTTGTAAACTTCGACTTTTTCACTGGGGATGCCCTTCGCTTGGTATACTTGGTTTCAAGTCTATATCTTTGCTTTCTACCTGTGAATTGGTTCAAGCGCTTCATGGGAAGAAACCCAATTGTTTACACTTATCTCTCGAACATTATTCGAGTGTTGCTTACGGGTATCATTTACATCATTGATTTATTTTCCAAATTGCCTAAACTCGTTTTCCGGAAAAATAAGCGATACATCCTCACTACCTCTCTTTTGAAATTCAATGCAACAAGAGAGGGTTATTACGAGAAGAAAGGGGACCGGATTACCTTGCGTTTCTTTGAAGATGATGATGAAGACTTCGTCATTGCAGAACAAGCAATCAACAAGAATATCGATTTCTTGGAGTCCAATGGGAAAAGGCCCAACTTCCTCGTTCGCTTCTTGTTCCAATTTATAACCAAAATCCCGTACGAGAAGGGCAGACAGGTGAAGAAATACGTCCGACATTTTTCTAGAAAAACATTGCTTTCGGAGCAGCATCTTGCGGGCGGTTGTGTGTTTGGTGACGTGGTTGACATGGGTTTAGAAAGCAGCGCCTCGACAGGAAAGGTGTTTGGTTCTGACAATATCCACGTTGCCGATTTGTCGGTAGTTCCTTTGCCTCGTGTCAGTACCCAAATGACAGCGTATCTTATGGGCCACCACGTTGCAAAACAGCTTTACTCTTGCAAAAAAAGTGATTAGCCAAGTTCTGCCACAGTGAATATCATGTTTGTTGAATGAAGGTCACCTGGCGTGCACTATGAGTCGATCCGTGGCATAAGAGAGTGAGAGCCAGGCGATCTGAGTGCTGAGATAGCTTCATTTGGAAAGCATCTATATGGATGAATAGGGTATTAGGTACAGATGTTATGTTGAGTATAGTGCAAGGATCTGGTATCTTGAAGAACTAAGTAAACAGATGGATCCAGCGAGCTGGCAAAAGCAAACAGCTGTTGCTGGACAAAATAAGAACTTGAAGTTGAAGAGATCCAAGAGGATAATAGGATCTTGATAGGAGAGTGAATACTATGAACAAGAGGAGTGATTTCCGGACAGAGGCCGTGATTATTAGAGCTGGGAGGAGAGCTCATATTTCAAGAAATACAGAATAAGATAGAGAACACTTTATTTGATCGTTCACTTACTGTTTTGCAACCATCTCAACAATGTTTGCCTTCTTTACTGTATCTGAAAGATTTCAAATGCGAACGAAATCAACTGAGTGAAACCTACCAGAACTACTAAAAAGAAACAAATGAAATGTTGTAATAAAACCCGTTTATTCACGACGACATGATACAATGTACTTTATCATCTCCATTTTCATCTTAGAGGAGTGCCATTGCAACATTACATTGTTTGTGTATTGCTTTACTATATTAGTAGTATGAGTTAACTTCGAAGAAAGTATCTATTTTTGGGTATGTCAGTCTTCGAACCCATTTTTTCATGAAGGGCACTTCAAACGTAGAAGTATGTTACTGTAACCGTACGTGTCTCATCTGACCATGAGCGTGTACTATGATACCAGTCACTCTGGTACCGATAGTAAGTCGAGGGCACGAGTCAACTTTGAGAACGCGGTTGGTATAATAACGGATCATAATTTACGGTTGCAACGGACAACGATACTAATTGCGATCTGTTTTCAACTGGCATGGCATGGATTGTATTTTCCTCGGGCCTATTTTTAAAAATTTGAACGCGTCACGGTTTTTAAAAAATAATTCAAAAATTACTACGAAGTAGTAGAAAATAAGTGCGTTCCCTCTCTCATCTCTCACTCCTTCAGGTTCAGCTAACAAACACTGTCTCGAACTTCCTCTCTCATCAGAATAACTCTCAAGTCGCACTTACGGTACAGCACTAAATTTGAACAAATTCCAATTCGAGAAGTTTGAAAACTCCATTCACTGTTGGATTCATTTTAGGCCTTACCCTATTCTCATTTCTTGGAACTCTTGGTTATGGTCAAAAGACATCGTGGCAATTTCAAATCCGATAAAGAATTGTTCCGTCACAATAAGAAAAACAACGAACAGGGCAGTCGGAACGGATCCAGAGTTGCCTGAAAACTCCGGGTCTTATAACAAGAGAGGCTACTCCACAAATTGACATCAACATATCATACAAAGTAGCACGGCTTTACTCAGATCTAAGTAGGACTTGTTGAGTGAATCGGTTCCAGCTCCATTTTTGCTGCCGGTGAGCACGAATCCCCAAACGAAATAAATCATAACATACGTCACCGAAACCGACTTCGATTGATCGACCAATCAACTCAAAGATGAATTCAGTAAACGTGTCAGTATCATGGCGAACATTACGGAGATACCGCCATGGGAGCCCGGCGCGTTGCTCGTTTTCACTACTCCTCACAATCTGGACATTGTTGGTGACTACTAACGAATATTGGGCTGGCAATCTTTTGGCTCGGGCTCAAGTCACCAGTGCCGATTGTTACGATGATCTTAATAGATCGGACAGGGACGGAGATGACAGGGTAAATGCAGCGGAATATGTCGAGTTTTTTCGTCGGCGATTGGGAAGACGTCGATCCGACGAGGGCTATTCCTACGAAACATCAGAATTCACGTCCTTCGAGGGTTTGCCTTTTGCTTTTCAATCCAATTTCTTCACCCTCGCGTGCTTTTGTTCCCGGTTCCGATTCGACGATAACGATGATGATCGCGCATCCTGTTGCATTGGAGATAAAGCCCACATTTCTGTTGTTAATGCCGACAGTGCTTTTGGTGAAGAAGAAACAAAAGAGCGCAATTACATCAACCTGGTTTGCAGGTTATCGGATGGAGCTATCGATAGTATCACAAGCACTTTAGATACCATTCAACTATCCCCGACTATATCTCCTACAGTCCTCCCTCCTTCTAATTCACCTATAGCAACCAAGAAGCCTACAGATACACCCACAAGTCTTCCCACAAGTGGAAGTCCAACACCGAAACCAACCCTTGATTTTGTGACGCCATCGATTCTTCCTTCAACATCACCCGCACCATCATTAGAGTCGTCGTCATTATCATCAACGTCAATGCCAGACACTACTATAGAGCCTACTCTGATGGTGAGAATCACCGTGGAGTCTTTGTATTCCATTCTGGTTCGAGAAGACGGTAGTGAGAACCAACTTCTGCAGCAGCAGCCAATGAGAATGGAACAACCACAGGAGTCCGAGGAGCCAAAGCAAAAGAACACTGTTAAGAATAATTTGATCACAGCAATGAACATGCTTTCTAGGAAAGTGGCGTTTGATCTTTGGTTCAGAGGGGCGTCAACCCAGACTGTCTTTTTCGAAAAGCTGCGTGTACAGCAACCGACTTCAATAGACAGCATAGTGGATATTGGTTTTACTGCTGCCCCCAAACTGATGAAAATCAATGATACAAATGACAACAGTAGTCATAATATCTTCGTCGGAGGCCCTTGTCCGCTAGAGATGAGAAAAAGTCAACCAGAAAATGTGAAGGCGAACACAGATACAAAACAGATTCAACAATATTTTTGTCAAGAAGTCACGGCATCCATTGTACTACAACTTCCAATGGACCCAGATTATACTGATACAGGTATCTATAGTCCCGGAAATGTACACGAGCTCTACAGTCAAGCCCTTGAAATGGCAATATTGAATGGGGAGCTAGGGGAACTGATGGAATCTGTCGCACACGACTCCAGAGTAAGCATTGCCAGTGGTCAGACCATCTCTGCGATGACACCAAAACCGACGGTGGGAATAGTAGGAATCATTGTTGCTTCCCTAGTAGGAAGTATTTTTCTGACGATGATAATCGTTCACTTTGTAATAAGATCGAATTCCCGTGACCAACCTCTCAAGGGGCTCGGAGACGAATGGGAAGACTCCAATAACAAAATTCTCGAAAGCGCATCTGGTGACAAAAATACAGTTGACGAAGACGATATCGAATCGAGAGTCATTGATCTATCTATGGAGAAAGAAATTGCCATTGATCCTAAAAAAGGTGCAATGGTCATTCGTCAGTGCACAAGCACAGAGCAGGCTACTGGTATGATGGAGGTCTCTGCCACGACCAACTCAACGAAAGGGACGGGTATTCCCGATTATACTGATAGCTCAATGATGGCAAATTCGATTCCCTACTTTCCGACCAGTCCAGGATCCAATTCAAACACGGATGATGCAAGATCTACTGGTGGAATTTCACAAGAATCGGACTCGGGTTGGTCCGAGGCTTATACATCAAGTGTGGGCAGCGTGGGCGATGATGATTGCGAATCCTTTCCAGAGATTCCTTCATCTGGGCCTGGTGCGCTGCCTTCAGTTGCCAAAGAGCCACCTTCTCCTCCTGCCGTCGACAAATCGACAGGAGATCATTTTGATGAAGAATTATCAACTAAAGATAGCGAAGAAGTTTCAGTTGATGAGAGTTTCACCCCTCAATCGCCTTCATCGCCGACAGCCCCTGAAACAATGAAACTACTTGAAGAAACAATGTCGGACGACAGCGACGGTTTGTTGATCCATGAAGACGAGTCGTCTTCAGATAACGACGACGATGACGTCAGTGATGACGATATCAAAGATGATCATCACTATGAACGCAAATCTGAAAAACCTTTATCAGCGGAAGAATTTCGCTCCAAACTCCTTGATATGATCAAACGCATCGTACCTGAGGAAATCGACCAGATAGACGACATGATAGCAGAGTTCAAACACCGCGAAGATGAATTGATCGAAACATTATCAATGATGGAAAAGCGACTTTTGTCACAGAAACAAAGTGATCAATGAACCCCACAATATCCTCGCCCTTCCAGGGAAGAAAGAAGAAGTAAATGTCACGTTGTGCGGTGTCCAGCAAAATGCATTCACTTGACAAAGACGACGATGTTGTAGTAGTGGGAAGAAAACAATAAGGAAATAGTTCGCTAGGAATTGCGATGGAGAAGAATTTCGTTTATGAAAATGAACCGATGCTGCCTTTTACAGAACCACAATGAAGATAGACCGGTCTATCATCCACATTCATCTGTAATCCGTTCCGTCGCCGAACATTAACGTTAACGGCTTACACGATACCGGCATTCTATAACAATAAAAAGTTGGTCCAAATAGGTCGAAATAGATTTTTGTCCATCTGATCTGTGAATAGGTGGCCAACCATTTGGCTTCCATGTGACGAAAATAAGGACAAAAGTCGGATGCATTATTGCCGAGGCAAATTAAGAGAAAGAGAATAACATGTAGAATTTAATCAGGACTTAATTGTATGATGAATGAATACCAATATGATGGTGAGAGCTCTATAGAAATTCTATACTTGCATGTGTGCGTGGGTAGTTTGTCCTGCAACAATAGCTGAAAGGTGTGGGAGTGAAAAATTTGCACTTCTAGGTGTTGATGGATACAATTAGGGTGCCTCAAAATAGCGATGTCGATGGTAGTGAAAAAGATTTCTTTGCCTTTCTCCTTGTTCGGTCCCAACTAAGATTCTTGATGGTAATGAGACAGCCGCCTTGATATGAGGTAGTGGAATTGGTCTATAGTAACGAGTCGAGGTGCTTCCTGGGACGGATCGGGGGCGTTCGGGGAAAGGACGGTAGGCCGTGGCAGGTGGTTGGTTTCCTGTGAGAAGAGAACGTATTTTGGTGGGAATTTTCTCGGTGTGCTTTTGAAAATATTGGCTCTGCATACAGAACCCTTGTTGGCGCTAGAACTCGCATAGGATCGCCAATTGCGCCTTTGAGTTCGTGGAAGACGCCTTCGGTTGCAATATATTCTGTTTACGAGAACTTTTCTCAAACATTAGCGCTTTTTCTTGGCGTTCTTGCCATCTTTAATTTCGATCTGTTTCTTCTTCTCTTGTTTCTTTTCTTCTTTCTTTTCTTTCTTCGACTTCTTCGTCCCGCGAATCCCCTTTTGTGTAGAATCGTTTTTTGCAGATGCACCGTCGTCCACAACTCTTCCGAAACTGTCTGAAAGTGCGATGGTCAGATCGCCGTCGAGGTTTAAACTAAACTTTTTCTCGTCATCCTCGATGACTATGCCTTGGAACTTGGCCACCGCCAATATAGGCAACTCTATTGCCAATAGACAAGTAAAGATCTGCTTGACTTTCATCCTTTCGTTGAATTTGAGTTTTCATACAGTATTATAAGGAATGAAACAAGATGCTCTGGAGTAATGCAGTGCCTCAGATTTTGATGCGTACGGTGCGTGCTCACATTTTTCATAACGTTTTTTAAACGGTACGGTATTAATATGTGTGTTGTTGAACTCATAGAGTCCAGTATCGTACGTAAAAACAGTAGGACGTACCTGCCGGCCCTCTCAGACTCTCAGAGTTTGGAATTTGGAAGCACATGCCACAGACATTTTGAAAGCGGGATTTCACAAAAACGACTCATCCCATCCCAGAATGAATCTTGCTAATTTGGATTCAAAAAAACTTGGGAATTAGTCCTCGCACAATGAGTAAGTAAACCCTAACCATAAATATATTTCGGGAAACTTTCGAAAGCGCTTGACCGTTATGATTTCGCGCACGCAGAGAAACACGGAGTTGCAGATTTACAGCTAATAATTCACAGAGAGGCAGGCGTTGGAATGAGTGATATCATGTGAAATCAATCGTGTTAGCTCATTTTTTAAATCTAACCCGAACTTAGTTCAATAAACAGGTCGATTCGACTCCTAGTACCGTATTTACCCGCCACTTCCTTCCGCACCGATTTGTAGAAGGAGGTGCATGAGGTGCGAATTAGTCGAAGCAATTCAAAAATTCCTGAACCAAAAACTTGAGAAGCAGCCGTGCCACTTCAAAAAGGTCCCGAACTAAAATAATACCGTGCGGGTAGTGTTGGTTCGACAAAAAAGAACAGAAAGATCCAACTCTCACCATTTGGCTTATCTGCATTTGTATCTGCCTCTGAGTCCCAGAAAAAGTTTGTTTGTGTGTGTGTCTTCTTGCAATACGATTGCGAATGCAGTGGGAACCGTACAAGTAAAGCCGGAATCGCGAAGTACTCTTGGAGAGTAACTCCATTTTGCTAGTGCCCGGTATAGAACGAGAAGAGGCACAGCATACGGCGGTTCGCGCCAAACGCCCGTCAGCTCATTTCCACTTGTAGCAGAGAGCTTAGTAGCAGTGGAGGGAGGTACCTCCATCGACAAGGTTCGCTACGTAGTGCATCGACGACTGAACAAAATCTCCGTCGCAGTGAATCCTGGCCGAGTAGCTATTACAGTGAGAACTTCCGAGAGAAACGACGACGAGGAGGCTGCCTTTGCGCATCGAGCATCACGTTATTCCGGTCAGTATAGCTCCGCACAACCAATCAGCAGAAGAACAATGAAGAAGATTCCTCTCAACCCCAGGAAGGACGGGGAGGAACGATGGGCTACCTCGCTGTCCTCCACGCCAGCAGACTCCGAATCTAGTGACCAAGGTATTCGCGAGAATGGCACAACGCGGTTGCCTTCGTCTATGAGGACAGGGGTTGGAAGCCTTTCGTACTTTCCAGACCAGGTGGCGAGAGTCTCGTATGTAGCATCCGTAGTGTATCCCGATCTCAGTGGGAACTACCTAAAGAATCTACAGGACGGTATGGACTCGCTGGCCACACGTTTGGCGCCTGACTACTTTCCGGGGACAGTTGTCCGGGGTGTTAGTGCACAGGTCGATGGCTACTTTCCGGCACGTGAGTTTTGAATCGGGTCCCAACAAATTGACTTCAACTGTTTGGCGCTTGTTGTATTCCGAAGCGAGAGGACGACATGCTAGTCGATAGTTTCAAACTATTTTCTCTTGTGGGAAACATTTATCGTCCTCTACTCACATACCTGTTTCGTCTATCTTCTTGTAAACCCAAAATTTCACTGCCATTGCGTACAAACCACAGCCTGTCCTTCAGAAAGGTATACAAATTGCCAAGACGTGACTGCGTCGATCGGACTCTACTTGAACGCGGTTCCCATCGACGTGAACGAGACCCAATTTGGCGCGGGTGGAAACTATAACAGCTACCACAATTACAACACCAGCGAGGTAGATGAGTTCGTATTAGACCCCTCCACGATGACAGAAGAATTGATTGCTTTCCAAGAATCTTTCGAAGCTGCGATTGCTAACAACGAATTGCAAGAGGCCATTCAACAACAATATCGCCAAAACCAAGATGAGAACAGCAATGCGCCAGTTGTGATCGTGACAGATTCCATCGACACTATTGATTCGGTAGCGGAAAGCGACAAAGACGACGCAGACGGTGCACTTCCCCTCCAACCTGCAACTGTCGACGATGCTAGTGCCAACATGGGTTCAATGGATCAACAAGTTTCTTCCGCAATTGCAGTTGAAGAGACAGATGACGTGAGAGATGTTGGTTTCGCGACTGCCGGGATCATCGGCACGGTTCTGGTCTCCTTGTTGTTGGTCGCTTTTCTTGCGGTGTCAAGAAGAAGGCGCCGAGAAATAAAAAGTGGATCTGGTTCTGTTGTGACCAAGAAGATCAAGAAAGATTCCAGTAATAGAAGACAGCCTACCAATGATCATGGTGATGAAAGTGGACAGAGGTTGTTACAAAATGTTTCCTTGATCGAAGTTGATGACAATGGCTATGACTTAGAAGAGGCTTACACGGGTAGAACAATGCGGACAGCAGGGACAGAATCAACTGTATCCTCTCATACCAAGAGAAAGTCACACGAAGCATTGATATCCCTTAATACCGTAAACTCTGGGGACTACAGCCCGGGTGATGGCATCCATGCCGAATCAACGACAGCGTCTGAAGAGAAACGAAATATCTATAACAAGGTCGAATTGCCACCCATGGAATACAACCATCAAGAAGAGAAGAATGTACATAATTCAGTCGTGACCTCGGCTGATGCCACGAGTGGCAAAGTTCACACATCATTCAATAATGATGACCAGGTCGACACCTACGATGACAAATACGACGACGATAACGAATATGTGATGTGCGAGGATGATAATAGTGATATCTCTATTGGTGAACACTTGCTGAACGTAACTAGAAATGCCCGCTTTGGGCTCCTCCCCGCAAAGAGTTCTGAGTCGGAGAATTTAACGAACTCCAGCCCAGCAATTGCAACATCGCCACAGCAAAGGGCAGCTGTGAACACTATCATCCGTTCCGACGAGGTAAGAAAAGAAACAGTTGATTCTTACAGCAGTAATCTTAGCCCGGGAGGTGTCGATAGAAGTTCCCAGAAAGCATATCTTCCATCGATTGGTGTAGCCTCATCTACCGACAGTAGTCACAATGCAGGAATGAGGAAACAGATTCGACCTATCGGCGAGTTGGATGTAGCTATCGCAAAAGGAGATTGGGCTGCCGTCGAAGCCACCGCAGCTGCTATTGCACGAAGTTCTACCCCAGTCGATCAATCTCCAATATCACGTCGCGCGAAGCAAAAGCCATTGTCTCCGTCGTCACCGATTTCAACATCGGATTACACTGAGAAGGCAAACGAACTAGACAAGTTGATCGAAGCAGGAGATTGGGAAGCTGTTGTAGTCACAGCCGCCAAGTTTGGTGCTGAAGGAGAAGCAGCGAGAGAAGACGTCAGTCGATCGAGAACAAGTACGCAGGGTTCCGAAAGCGAGGGATCGCATGCGAACGACAGCTTTGCATCGAACATGGATTATTCTTCTGCTGATCGTAGTAATAGTATGGGTCGATCACTAACAACCACTGCTTCCCAAAAAGAACGGCTGCAAGAGATTAGGGATCTGGTGACACAAATGGTTCGAGATGTCGTCCCTGAGGAGGTGGACAACGTTGATGAAATGATGTCGCAGTTCAAAGGAAAAGAGGAAGAACTCTTGGAAACACTCCGGACAATGAAAGAAAGGAACGTGGCAAGGAAAGCACGGGTAGAATCTCAAAAGTTTGCCAGGAGGAACACGCGTTTCCGTGAGAAAGGCGAAGACGCCATAATTACAAACGAAAACGCCATTGGAACAGAACAATCCCGAGAATTACATGCAATCAATTCGATGACTGCGGGCGGTAGGGATGGCATTATCCGGAATAGTGGATACGATTTTGATGGTGCAATAGTTGATCCTGATAAAGCTGCAGCGGATGCGGCCGCTTGGGCTATTCAAAGGAGTCTGGATGAATTGATGGAAAAGGAAAAACAAGAAAGAGAAATCATTTAGAGTTTTGATTTCGTTAGAATATACATGATCTCTCTGTAGGACATTTTTGAGACGAACTGAGCAAGAAGTAATTCACTGAACACCATACACATAAATTCATAAATTTAAGGAATAGATCACGTACTCAAAGTGAGTTGGCTCGAAATCTCTCGCTACATAGTATAAGAATAGATATAATTGTAAGAAGTGACTTTTGTTGTGCGCTGATTAAAAAAGTCTCGAGTTTTGTCATAGTTAGTGTTGGCTCTGATTTGTTGGTGGTGGAAGGTCAAAGAGCCTTCGAAAATTTTCTACCTGTCTTAGTATTGAATTTAGGACAGAACAATTTTTAGGCTTCTAGTAGAAGCACTAAAAGAAAATAGTGTCCACCTTCAATGGATTCGACTCGACCAATGAATGTAATAAAGACCGCCCTGTCCGCCCCATTTATTTTACATTAAAATATCATTGAAATTCATGAAGATACCGTGAGCATCTGCATTCTTTCTACCCGTTCGTTTCGCTCGTGGAGGACCAGTCGCTTGTGCTCCTACAAATGTGTCGGCCGCTTGCCGATGGCCCGTATCATACGGCGTGTATTGTGCTGACTGTGAAGGTTGTGCTTGAGTGGTTCCGACTGAATATTGATATTCTTGTGGTCTTTTTCCACTTCCATCACCTCCGACAACTTGATTTTGTTGCTGATTTGAAAAATGGTGATCCTCTGTGCCTCGACCGGCATTATTAGCATTTAAAAAATCATAATACGCCTTGTCAAATTCTGCCTGGTTTTGGTCAAGCTCTTCCAATTCTTGGTGTTCCCGGCGGAGTTGCTCCTCTCGCTCACGCTGCAGGTGAGCTCGGTGTCGCTCTTCCTGTTCCAGTTCCAGTATTCGTTGGTGGCGTTCTTGTTCTTCTCGATTTTGGATTTCCTCCTGCTGGCGCTGTGCCTCGATAGAAGCTTCTTCTAGAATTTCTTGTTCGCGACGTGCCAGTAACAAGCGCTGTTCCAATTCCCTGGTTTTTGCCTGCTCTTCACTCAACACATCTTCCAGTTCCACTTTTGCCCTCTCGAAATATGTGAATTCCAGTTTTAGTTCTTGCTGAATGCAGTCAGATCTGTCCCGCAAGTCGTAAATCGTTCGTCGAAATTCTTCAATATCTGTTTCGTGCGACTGTCGCTGAGTCTTGAATTCGTTCTCTAGTTCTTCATTCTCTTCTTCCACCTGACGGAGTTCGATCTCGAGAGTCCTGCGTTGGGCAGCACTATGAGCGTTCTGGTGGTGGTGCTTGTATTCTTCTTCATCAATCGTGGTCGAAGAGGAATGAAAAAAATCACCATCATTCAAGTCATCGATGGGATCGTTCTCGATGGTGTTGCCCCGGATGCTATCATCGTCGTCAACGAATCCATCGTCAACGCCTGGAAGTTGTGCACGGGAATCTAGTTCATAGATCTGTTTGCGTTGGATCTCTACCATATCTTTTAACTTCCGAAGCTCCCTGTTGTGCAGAAGGCGTTCTTGCATTAACATTTTGTCGGCATCTTCAACGGAAATCAATTCGTAGAATCGTTCTGACTTCTCTTCACTTCTGTGGTTCTTTCTTGCCGAAAGCCCACCTATCCGTTGGCGATTTTGACTACTATACGGTCGTAGATGACAGAAAGAGATAGAGGAATGCAAACTCAACTCCAAGCCATGATGACGCACAATTGGATGCTTTGCAGAAAGAGGATCGACTGTCAAGAATTGAAAAGTCAATACCACTGCTAGAAATTCAGTGGCTTGAAAAGAAACCATCTTCATACTCTATTATTATTCTTGCAAATTATTCACTTGAGGTCCTGATTGTTTGACTGGTCTCGGTATTGAATGAATCGTATCTATTGAGGCCGTCAAATTTTCTTTTGTTATTGCTTCACAGCTCTCGAGTATTTTACCGGTACAGTTGGCGATGGCAGGTTACATTGTTCTTTAGTGTCTTCTTCGGTGCTTGGGATTTTGCTGCACCCTTGACTTCGCGGAATTTTTTAACGTTCGAACAATGACGTACTTTTGTTTTCTTCCCTTAAATAAGTACGGCAGCTGATTGACAGCTGCCAAAATAGTCGTTTTGGCGATGGCGATCATTACTTTTACTACGTAAAATTAGTAAGTACGTATGCTCTATTCCACAAATTCATTCACAGGAACAGGAAATACGGAAATACATATTATGTACGTACTACAGCATAGAACGTATGTATCGTACTCACCTCCCACATCTCTCTCTTACAGTCGTTCTTTTCTCGAAAAAAATACTTCACCTGCACCTGCCACCGCACCTGCCTAGTAGAGCTATTAAAGGCAAGCCCCGTACTGGCAAGTTATTGGCAATTCCCATACAAATGCTAGTAGAAA